TCTATATACTCTCATTAATAATGGGATACAGAACAATTGAATATTCTCTGATTAAACATAAGACGATTAAACGAAACATGTTTACAGGTAAAATATTACTTTTATTTCTCAGTATAATTTTACTAAATCCTATAAACATTTTTGGTGTCATAAGATACACCTATCAGCAAAACAATCAATTATATTAACTTTTCCAGTGGCGTACAGCATAGATAAGTAACACCTTTATCCGCTCTAAATTTTACGCCACTGTCCAAAAACTTATTTGGACTATACTTTTAAATTTTTTGATTTTTTTTAGATAAATCATTTACTCTTATTGGAAATTTATAAAAAAATTATAAAATAATAAAAATTAAGAAAATCCACCTGTGAGTCTGAATATCTCGAAAACTAATCACTTTATGTGTTTCCAATAAGAATACCTACTTGATTTATTTAAAAAAACACCAAAAAATGTAAAAATATAGTCTAGAGAAGAAAGGAGTGAAGTAATTTAATTTGCAGAACTTTTAGTACAGGCTCAAGAGGTAGAGATATTTTATTTATACATCATCCTTCAATGCTTATTTGTAGTTAAAATGAAAATTTTAATACATCTGATCGGCCCAATCGGCCTAATAAAATATTTTTTTTGGATTTAATCATGTTTTTATAGTTTTTACTGCAATAAACCTTTTCTTTTGACAGATAAGTCAGACTTTATTTATAGCCGTATCGTATATATTTTAATTGATTCGGAATACCTACGTTATAAGTAAATTATAAATAAAGTGTTTTAAATAAATAAACTATAAATTAATTAAACAAACGTTAGAGTATTCTTGGTTTGTTTTGTTTAGGAATAAATATGTAATATTCATTTTGTTCACTTTAGATGACAAAATGGCAGCCGATAATTCTGAAGAACCAGAAGTGGCGCTTATCGAACTGGCTTCTGTATTATATGGTATTTAAAATATATAAAGGTCAGAAATATCTTCTTGGTAGACGGCAATAGATATTGCAAATAGTCACTTGCAATGCGACAGAAAATTTAACAGAAAAAGAAAAAATTCTGTTGGTTAATAGTATATTATGCAACGATCATGTAATAACCATTACATGAGAGTTGCATACGCTATTTTTTCTACAATAAATAATCAAGAACTGTAAATATTATATTTATATTTGTATTGAATACAATAACAGTAATTACTCGTATTCCTATAAAAAAATTCTACAAAATTGTAATTAATGGTATTATCTCGGGTATTGGTATTACCATAGATTTTTGGAGCAAAATATTTTGTACTGCATTTTCTGTTTTCTCCGATATGTGTGGAGGAGTCAATGGTAAGTCTTCTATATTGCTGATATCAGACATATTGATAATATAATTATCGAAGTTTAGCTATCTACGAAAATTTAATACGTACTGATTTTGAAAACTAAAACAATTACATAGGGATCTAGGACAAACGTAAAATGCACAGCATGCTTGATTGAAAAATTATGGGTTTCTATTGATTAAATATCTGTATCGTTATGAAAAATCTGTATCAATGGGTATCATTATGAAACGGATTATGGGCATATAAGTGCATTATTATAATACGGGTGTAAAAAAAGGAATTTATGAAATCAGCTGTGCGGGTAATATAGTAGCTATTATATAGGGAGGGTGTATCGGCACTTCGGTAGACTAAATTCTTAAATAGTTTTAGGCTGGTATAATAAAACGGCAATTGCATACTGGGATATGTCCATCCAGCGGCCCAAATGTGACGTTAATGAACAATATATTTCTATAATAATAATATAATAAACTTCTTTTTAATTATTGACTCACCATCTATTTCTGACGTTTTTCATTGTTGTTGATACGTGGAAGTGTTGTTGATTTGGAAATATCGAAGGGACATCGAGACGTAGAGCATCGGGACGTTGAGCGTCGGAATGTAGAGATGGGGACGGGACGCAGAGCGTCGTGACGTAGAAAGATAGGGAAGTAGAGCGTCGAATGGAATATAGGACATCGAGACGTAGTGCGTCGGATAAAAGAGATGATATCGAGACGTAGCGGCAGACAGGTGGTCGGGATATATAACGTCGATAGGATATGAACTACGTGGGTTTGGGAAAGGTACTGAACTTGAGTTATACTAGATTTGAAAGTAATGAATGCTGGTGTTTGAAATCAACTGAACTGAATTTGATTTCTTAATGAATATGCATCCGAGTCCCTCGAGATCAGCTCTTTATACTCGATTTAATGACTTTTTGTGACGTCAACTGGTCGTAACTTTTTTTATGAGAACGAATTTGGGTGGATAGAAAAGGGGTGGTCGATTTATTACTTGCCTTGAAAATTTTGTGTCGAAACCAACGTTACCATTCAAACTTGACTTAAGTGTTTCAATGATAATTACTTCGTGACAAAATTTATGTTGTATGGTGGTTTCGGGTTAGGTTCCCAGACACGTACAAGAAAATTGGATCTCTTACAGACAGGGTTATAGATATTATTTATTAGTTGTAAATAAGATTTATTCGTCTGGGAGATTTTTCGTTAAATGAAGGATTTTGAATTTAATAAGAATGCAATATTTTCTTTAATAAATGGAATTAATAAATTATATGAAGGTTTTTTTTTAAATTCCATTGTAGGTCCTTTTTTCCTTCCTGAAAATTTAACAGGCGATATGTACTTGGATTTACTACAAAATCATAGAGAACGACCCCGCATACAATGAGCAGGAACTGATTTTCCAACAAGACGGAGCTCTTCCGCATTACTCGCTAAATGTGCTCAATTAAATGACACATTTCCAGGACGATGGATAGGACGAAAGGGCGCAACTGAATGGCCACCTCGGTCACTCGACTTAAGGGGTGAAATGATAAAGTTTTTAAACTTTTTTATATTTGATTTTGTAAATGGAGAACCTTTCAAGAATATTGTGTGAAAATTTGAGACGAATCGGAGAAAAACTAACGAAGATACAGCCGTTTGAGGAACCGCGCCTCATACATGACTCGGTGTATCAGAAAACACCTGCACGGGCCGAACGCGCTTTTGTTACCTGGCAGCTGTTTCGCTTTCTAACCTTACTTCCTATCTTTATACCTGAACTGTATATAATTCAGTGTGAGCATTGGCCTGGTAGGTTATTTTGCTTTACTAACCTCCATGCAAGACATGGGAATCAGTAGTGGATCAAGCGCTCATGAATGAGGATGGACCTGGAATCGAGGATTCAGTGTGAGATAAGCCGATAAAACTCGTTTTATTCCAAATCTTTTAGTGTTCAAAACTTTAAAGCGTTTTTCCCACAACTCACGTTTCCAAAGTCATAACTTCAAAATTACTGCATCTATCTCTTTGAAGACTATTATTGTACATAATTTACGAGGTAACGCTGTAGTTTTTTTCAAATTTGTTAATATTTTTTTATTTTATAACAAATTAGCCTATTGTTTTCGCAAGAAACGCGTTTTTTCAAAAATGGAATAAATGAAATTTCGGAAAACCCTCCAAGCGTTACCTTGGGAAAACAATTAGCTGACGAAAGAACTTGTGATTTTTTTATTTCTGATGATCCAGCACTGAGTTAGGATGGGCACCGCAATTCTACTTTTTTCCGAGAAGCTTCCGAATAATTGCAACCATTTCCGTATTTTTTAATATTACTTTAGATTTTTTCTTGTGGGGACACATAAAAAGCGTAGTTTACAAAACTACACCTGGCACATTAGAAGAGTTGCGAAGAAGAATCATTAACGTATGTCACGAAGTGACACCGTAAATCACTGTATGCAAGTTGGTGGGCAACACTTCCAGCATTTACTTGACTAATACGATAAGCATTGAACCGCTTTTTTCATTTTCCGTCACATATTATTGTTTAACTTCCTAGGCTCCATAATTTTCTAAACAAGTAGCTCGATATTCAAAAACTCAGCAGCGTTGTATAGGGAATGACAACTCTTTTAAATAGGTATCATTGAGCCCATTCTTCTTTGAAAAAAATTGTAGAATGACATCCCTGCTGAATGTGTTGAAGGTTTTACTATGCTTTTTGCGTCAAAAGGTGCTCCCTTGACGTGTTTTTGGATTGCGCCGAAAAGTTCTTTTCCACCCTGTAATGCCTTGCGGTATATATTGGTTTTTAAAAATTCATGTCTGAAAAGGTTTAAGATTTTCGCAGCATTAAAGAACGTTGATAAAAGGTTTTTACATTTTTAGTAGTATTTTTTTTGCCGTGTCATGTCCGTGGGTAATTTAATTAAGTTTCAATCGTCTTGATATTTTAAGGCACCTGTTGGCTAATATATACATCTGTATTAAAACACGATCCATTTTCGACCAGTCCGGTCATGCTCAAAACCCTCTACTATTTAGACCCAACAAGATGGTGCAACATCTCACACACCAAGAGAAACAATTAACTTATTGCAACGAGATTCAAGGCAGACTTTTTTTAAGAAATGGAGATGTTAATTGACCACCTAGATCTTGTGATCTAACGCAGCTAAAAATTTTTTGTGGGGTTACCTCAAAAGTAAAGTATATGTAAACAATACAGAAACAATTCAAGAATTAAAAAGAGATTCTATACCTCAAAAGTAAAGTATATGTAAACAATACAGAAACAATTCAAGAATTAAGAAGAGATTCTACATATTATTGATAATCAAACATTTTGGCAAGAGTTAAGTCTTGCTTGATATTGTGTTTCATATGGCTATCTTGGCGACGTTGTCAACTACATAAAATCTGTAGTCTGGCTCATGAGCTAGAAGGTGCCTATCATCTCAGGAGGATGCTCAATGGGCCTAATGGGGCCTAAGTGCCGTGGGGGTAACCCATCCTCCACACGTTGCAGATACCTATTGCTATAAAGTATTAATTTTTTTTCTTAGTTAATAAAAATGTTGGGAAACTCTTATTGGAACACCATTTACGTATGATTTAAGAACCAAACAAGTTATTTGAAAGTTCTCAATAAAACAAAATTAACAATCATTAAATTATTGTATTAACATTTACTTAAAAAAACGTCAATATAAAGCCACAATTTATTCATCATTCTGTACATCAAAAAGACAAATAAACAATGGAATTTATTCTTATCTAAAACTTCAATCTGTGAGGGTATTGCGACGATCTTAATCCCCACATAGCTGACAAATAGGCTAGAAGTACTTTATGGTCAGGATGCTTCTTGATTGCAGCCAAAACTTGTGTGTCAACTTTCTTTTGGTCACTTTTCCTATCCTCACTCACTTTGTAACCCTGAAATAATAGTGGATTATTAATGGTGCCAAAATGTTTTACAATTTTAGAGTTACACTTATCTCATGAAATAAATAAAATTAAACTTTCAAATTAGTAACATTTAAATTGATACTGATAATCAGTAATAAAAGGAAAAATGACTGTAAAAAAAATAATTGCCCTCTAAGTAACTTGAAAATAATTTTGTCAATTTCTATTGGAAAAATTAATTTCACAAATAAACAATTTACTTACTTCTTTTTTAGATTGGAAAATATCTCCTTCCTCTTTCTTCGCCCTCTTTTCTCTTTTCCTTGCAAAATACTCATCATTTAAGTTTTCAGGAAGTTCAACTCCACTAACGTCAATTTTGGTTGAAGTTGCAATAACATACCTTTGACTGATACGTCTTATTGGACAAGCATTAATTCCAAATGGACCTAAGAAGTTACTATTTGTAAATTTTGTATGATACAATTCAATTGATAAATTAAAAAAAGTATTAGCAACAATTTAGATAACTATTCTGTATTTCAAAATAATAAATAGTTTTTGAACTCCTTCTGATATTAATTTGATACTAAAGATATTTTTGTGTCTATAAATTACTTTATTATCCCCTTTCCTAATCATCCTTATAGATGTATATGGACTTTGGCAATTAGTTCTTGTACTGTCTTGAATTTTAATTTTCAATGCAACACATGTATGGTAACTTATCGATAGTATTATATAACTATATTGTTCTTTTTTGTTTTTATTTTGTATTTATGACTTGTTTTATAGATTTGTAATTTTTTTTGTGGGTTGACTTGAAAGACTACGTTCTTTTATGTACGCTGTATATAAATAAAAATGTTTATTATTATTAAGAAATCGCTCATATAGTACCTAATTATTAAAAAACTGACTTCCAATGGTTTAAATAATGCTGTCTCAAAAAATACATACCAGTTACAAGAAGAAGGCCAGAATAGAGCTGTTTAAGGAAAACAACCCTCTTTCCTTTGTGAGAGCCTGCCAACAAAATTAGAACTGTACCAGGGGTGATGGAATTTCTGATGGATCGTTTGTGTTGGCTAAAGTATTTTCTTGCAGGCCTAGGCTTAATTCTGAAATTTAAAATAAATGGTAAATTATATAGATCAATAACCTAGCAAATAAGTGTATTTTAGAATCAAGTCAGTCTAATTATTAACCACATGTTTATTTCAGAGGTGTCCTAAGGTAAAAAATGTCATCATTAAATTTATTGGTTTGCAAATTGTTTTGAAAAATGATTGTATCGATACAAAAAAAGAAAACATGTAATTAGTTTAATGCAAAATTGCAGAATTATTGAATGGAAATTCTAAATAATATTTTAGTATTAATAAGCAATGCAATATGTTTTTCAGACATTCATTTAATAATTTTCATTCAAGGGAGTTCTTGGACAATGAAAAGTAACACCAAAATTTTGCATATATAATTTGAAGGATAAGTAAAAGCCAATGTGCACCATGCGCCCACCAAAAAAAGATTTAGATTAATAACTTTTAAAATAAAAATATTTTAGGCTCAATTACTATAGTACTGCTTTGAAAAGGTATTATTAGTGATGGGATTGGGGGATGTGAAACCTTTCAAACTCCTAAAATTTGGTTAAAATTGTATTATAAACAAAGACGGAAAATTTTCTTAAGTAGAAAATTAGTTTATTCTGAATAAATCAGTATATTTTATATTTGACCAGACTAATAAAGATATTATCAAAGCAATATCACAGTAACTGAATCTAAAATATTATTCTAAATCTTTTGTTGGTGGGCGCGCCATATGTTACAAATAAAGATAATTAGAGGAATGTTAGTGGGGTTAAGTCATCTATTTGCATACATTTTAGAAGATATTGAGATATTAGGGCTATTTGATTGTAAAGGTAAATTTTGTATAACATGATTCAGATGATTTCTTTGGCAATATCAGGGGCTGGTAACTCAAATGAAAAAACATGAGGAAGGTAATTTAGTACCACTCCAATTAACGGGATGGCGCTCGTATCGAAATGTCATATCAGTTGTCAAAACTTCAAACTTAGAAAAATTAAAATGGCTATTGGAATTTTGATTCATCTAGAATCTAAGATTTATTTTTCAACACCTTCCAAGATGGATTTCAGCAACGAACAATAAAGCACTCCCAGATATTGGTAGTGATTCAATTTATACAACATTAAATATGCAGTCGTCATTTTTAAGGATGACCAAATAATTTGTAATAAGTGTCTTAAGAAAAACGAATCTATCACTGCTTGGCACCAATGGTAAGTAATATTTACAAACTTATTTTTGATTCAGTATTAAAATAATTGGTTGGTTATTTAAATTTCTTTTTGTTTTCGGTTTTTAAATGATCATTGTTGTAAAGAAAATGTTGACCCTCCAAAATACCCTGTCGAAATATTTGAACCTCAGCCATCAATATCAAAAACGTATTCAATGCCATTCACATCAAACAAGAAAACACCCCAAAATCTTCAAGGGTCCAAACGTGTGTAATAGGGTGTGTCACTTTTGCGCAACTTTTTTTTTTTTTTTCAACTAAAAAACAGGCTTAAAACTTTCAGGAAGGTGACAAAATTAGCCTTTAAAAATTTGAGCTCTTTTGTGAGCTAATATTTTTAGAAAGCTAAAATTAAAAAAAATTCATCTTAGATATTAAATATTTGATTAACTGTTAAACAAAAGTAATTATGAATTAGGTTCAGTAAAATTATTATTTTATAGATTAAAAAACTTTTTAACAATTAGCATACTAAAATTTTGAAACTAATAGATATTTTAATGTCTTATCAGAATTAAATGATGTAACTATATTTGTTGAAGTTTTTTTATTACAATTTGGATATTTTCGTCGGTGCTCCTTTACCACTTGTAATAAATATTAAAATTGTTCCTCATCTTTAGTTAGGCATCTATTATATTCTTCTACTAATGCGACGCCATGTCCTGCAACGTCATTGACAACTTTCAATTTTTCAAAAAACTCTTGATAACTTTCATTATCTGGCCAAAGTCGTACGGCAAATCAAATTTGTCAAAAAGTTTCAATGATTGTTTTGAAACAATATATTTTTGTTTAAAAATATTTCTGGTGAATTTTTGTCTTCTGTGCGTCGTTTTCTTTCTATATAAAAATCTGATGTGTCCAACACATGACTTTCCTATCTAGTTAACCTATTGCAGCATCTCTAAAAATGTTTAGAGGATAAACTAAATATATACATTTTCCACATACATCTACCTCGAAACATTTTTCTATAGATATTCATTGAAAACGAAAATACTGAAAAATTTTAATTTAGCACTTTTCCTCCAATTTTTCCATTACGGTCCATTTTAGAAAAGTCATTTAAAAACAAAAATTATAGAGATCGATATCGCAAACAACTTTTAGATTAACAATTTTCTTAAAAATCAGAATTTTGCACATTTTGTCAAATTTCTCGAATACGGACCATTTCAGGAAAATTTGACATAGAACAAAAATTATAGATAATATTGTAAGTAACTTTTATTTAAAGAATTTTCTTCCCCAAACGTAAATAACGAATATATTCCATAAAATATAAAAATGACCACCAATAAAGTACCCCCCCAAATGTTCCGACTCTGTTCAAAATCTAATCAGGTCGAAATAAAACTTAAGTTTAAAATTTAATGTTTTTTCCTTTATCCGTTTTTGAGTTTTCTTCAAAATTCGAAATTTACACATTTTCTCAAATATCTCGAATACGGTCCATTTTAGAGAAATTATTTATAGGATAAAAATTATAGAGAATTATATTACAAACAACTTTTATTTGAACAATTTTTATAAAAAATTATTTTTTTTACATTTTGTCAAATTTCTCGAATACGGACCATTTTAGGAAAATTTTGCATAAAACAAAAATTATAGATAATTATATAAGAAGTAACTTTTATTTGAAGAATTTTCTTCTCCAAACGTAAATAACAGATATATTCGATAAATTATAAAAATGACCACCTATAAAGTACTCCCCCAGATGTTCCGACTCAGCCCAAAATCTAATCAGCTCATTGGACACTGAAACAAAGCTTAAGTTTAAAATTTGGTGTTTTTCTGTGTATCGGTTCATGAGTTATGCGACCTACACACACACACACACACATACACACACACACACACACACACACACACACACACACACACACACACACACACACACACACACACACACACACACACACACACACACACACACACACACACACACACACACACACACACACACACACACACACACACACACACACACACACACACACACACACACACACACACACACACACACACACACACACACACACACACACACACACACACACACACACACACACACACACACACACACACACACACACACACACACACACACACACACACACACACACACACACACACACACACACACACACACACACACACACACACACACACACACACACACACACACACACACACACACACACACACACACACACACACACACACACACACACACACACACACACACACACACACACACACACACACACACACACACACACACACACACACACACACACACACACACACACACACACACACACACACACACACACACACACACACACACACAGAGACATCAACGCGAAAATAGTCAAAACGGTTTCAGGGGACCTCAAAACGTAAAAATCCGTCGAAAACTCGAGGTCGAAAAAAATCATGATTCCTATACTTTCCTTATATCTGTATACAGATAGGAAAGTAAAATTAATGATGTTTTCTTGAAAATAATTTTTAAGACATAAAAAAGTCATCAGTTTAATAAAATAAAAGTCCTAATTTGCACATTTGCAACTTTAAGTTTGAATATTATCTTCAAAACGGCTCTTTATGAAAAAAAAAAAAAAAAAAAAAAAAATTTTTGGAGGCTTCTTTTTTTACTTTCCTGAAAGTTTTTAGCCTGTTTTTTTAGTTGAAAAAAAAAAAAAAAAAAAAAAAAAAAAGTTGCTTAAAAATGATACACCCTAAGTGTGTAAGTTTAATTTAAGCTCAAAAGTTTCATTTATCACAGTGCCCAGATGATGAATATGAATTTGATAACTACAAGTGCTGTACAAACAATTATCGGATGAAGAAATGCTCCTCAACCTAACTAGTCGACTCAATAAGCCTATGGCAAATTTTATCCACACTCAAATTTTCCTTGATAGTAAAACACCAAAAAGGATAATGCTTCAATTTCAATTTTTTCAAACTTATTTCCCACTCCAAGTCGCAAAACTTTTATAAAGGTCTTGGGCACTTATATATGCTGATTTTGTTACAGAAAACATTTTTGATAGGTTTGTTTTATAAATATTTAATTATTTAAATGGTGTAAATGCATATTTCTTTGAGTATTTCCATGTTTAAATAGACAAATTATATGATGCGGCGTTAATTTTTTGTAATAAAAAAAAAAAAATAAAATAAATTGCATTTTATTTCAAGTTTGAAATTAATGCAAAAATATAATGAAGTAAAATCAAATAAAAATATAATTTGGCAAAATATTTGACTAGTTTCAAATCACATAATAGTCAATATAGTTGTTTTATGATTTGAAACTAGTCAAATATTTTTTTTTGTTTGATTTTCTTCATTACATTTTTGTCCAGCTACCACAAAGTTTAATTTCAGAAAGGTAAAGTGTAATTTAACTTATTTTACTTTTTGGATGGAAATGGGTTTACTTTCATAGAATTTGGTAAACTGATAAAATATCCTAAATGTGGTAGCCACCTTGAGTTCACACAGGACTGGGCCAAACTTGGAAGCCACATTGGCAGTGAAAGTGTCAGAAGCTAAATTGGGTCCAAGTCACTAAAAGGTCAGACCATTTCAAACAAATGAATTATAAACAACAGTTTTTGTGATTATAAATTTGTGGGGAATTAATCATTTTATCAAAAAATTAGGTAATTATTAGTTACAATTCCTATAATGAACTCAAGGATTATTGGTAAGCCAAAAATCATAATTTCTCTTTCTTAGCCATAGCCTATTCCCTTTTTTATTGGCAAGCCGGACTCCAGATATAGTGTCTGTTTTATTTAATTATATTTATTATTAGCAATTCCCAAACCATGTTTATTTTATTTATTTAAACAGGATCAACCCTATTACAAAGCAAAACACATATAAATGATACAAATAATTGTAAATTAAAAAATAAAAGAAAAAAAAGGTAAAATTATAATTAAATAAAAGTCAAATAGGTTTTAGATGAGGGGTGCACAACATACAGCCTGCCAGCGTCATTTTGGCGGCCCGCCTACGTCAAATTATACATTTTTTAGTAACAAACTTGCATTTAGGCTGACGATTTTTTTTTTTTTTTTAGAAATTTTTGCAGGCTCAGGCCTCTCTTGCCGGCCCTCGTACAGTTACGGTTTTCAAATCTGGCCCTTTGAAAATCTGAGTTGTGCAGGCCTGTTTTAGATTAACAAATGCATTTTAAGTAGTGTAAATCCATATATGTAATATTTCATTTTTACTCAAGTGTGTTCGTACAGATTGCCTTAAATTTATTAAAAGAAATGCCTGTAACATCAAGATTCAATTGATTTATTACCCTCAATGTTCTTTCAATAAGTAAATGCATGCCATAGTTTATATTGTGAAATGGAATATATTTAATTGCCTAAGGGCTCTATTAGGAATATTGAACAAAATAATTTATAAGAATTCCGGGCATATAACTAGACCATTTAATCTATAGATAAAATTCAAATCTGATAGAAGTCTCCTGTACTTAAGTTAGTTCATATTCATTTCATTTAAAATCCTAGTATAATTATGATCAGTTACCTGAATATTTAATTTGAAGGCATAGACATTTATTTTGTATTCTTTCCACTGCTAGACAGTGCATATGATATTGTGGTGACCAAATTATATACTTCAATGAGGTACAACCAATGTTTGATAAACTCTTTTTATGGCTTTTAGAGAGAAATCAGAACAGTTGCGTAATATTAACCCTAAGCATTGAAAACATCAATGTTTTTACAGTCATTTGTTAAGTGTTCTGGTGATAGGTGTTTGCCAGTTTAAATAATGCATAGGGATAAAAAATTAATCATTTGATCTCAACAGCCTTGAAGGAACTCTGAGATATATTTGCTCCAGAATGTTAAGACAGATATAAAGTACATTAATAATTATACATAAAAGAGAGATCTCGCATTAATTTTCTTTTCTGCAATTTATCTAGATTGAGTAATTTTAAATTTTCCAAATAATCATATTGAACATTCAATCTACAAGAACAGTGCTTTACAAATTTCTTTTGCACCCTTTCTATTTGATTAATACAAATTTCTTATTGAGGATTCCAAACAATGGTGGAATATTCTAGAATTCCTAACCAGTGAGCAGTAAACTGCTCTTAGCAACTGTACAGATAAATCTTTAGAGTTTCTCATTATAAAACCTAACATCTTTAGTGCTTTTACAGTTATTATATTAATGTGTTTCTTGAATAAAAGAGGTGAATCAAAATTCACTCCAAGATCCTTAATTAATTGAACTCTGCCTAGTTTATCATTGTGCAATTGGTATTTAAAGAAAGCCTGTCCATCTGACACCAATTTATTAAATTATTTAAGTCTGATTGTAATAGCATAGTATCATCATTTACCCCTACAGTTTTAAAAAGCTTCATGTCATCAGAAAACAAGGTAAGATGAGTATTTAATATATGTTCAATAAATCTTAATTGTTCATCTAAATCTCCTAAATCTTTGACTGAGTTAACCTGAGATAATGGCTTTTCATTAATATTAAACTGTAAGTTATTAAGGTTGCACCATTTAACTAAGTTGTCAAGATCATTCTGGATGAAGGCTTGATTGTTAGATAAGTAAATTGGTCTATACAACTTTAGATCATCCACAAATATTAAGAACTCACAATGTTTAAATCAAAGTAATAAAACAATATATGACACAGGATTATTTCAGTTTTTTTGTGCTCAAAAAAATGCTAAGAATGATAAACTTACTTGTCTTGGGTTGGATAATATGCCTTACGTTTCTTAACCAAAACAAATCTCTTGCCTCCATTTTTGTCACCTCCAATAGGTTTTTCAATTACATGAGGCTTTTGTGGCTTCTTGGTAGCTTTAACTTTCTTACCAATAAATTTGTACAAAGCCTTTTTGTGGAACATCTTGGTTCTTGAAAACCTAAGAACACCATTGCCCAAGTCATAGTTTCTAGGTTTTCCTGGCTTGTGTACTTTCTTGGTTGCCTCTACAGGCACTTTGGCAGCCTTCTTATCAACCATCTAAAAAAAATAGAGACTTAAATTAGCACAACGTGTGTTACAAATGTAACAAAATTTTATAGGTTAAGTCTTTGGATTTATAATACTTATATATACTTTTGTACTTAGAATTCTGTATTAATTTAAGTCAACACAAAAATTGAATATAAAAATATATAAGGCGTACATACAGTTAAAGTAAAAACCTTCTGCACTGTTTATTGTCAAAAAGTAACAACACGCCGAAGAAGTTTAAAATTTAAAGATAAATTGTCGGTAATTGCCAAATATATCACTTGCAATCAAACAATAATAGTTTATATTGTTTTTTGATTCATTCAATAAATTATTTATGTTAAAGATGATTAAAATAAATTAAATTTTCTAAAAAATATTCACTTTGGCACTCACCTTCAACGATGTCACTTACGAAAGGGTGACATGCGCATGTGCAGCAGTGTTGCCATCTTTAATGTCAATTCACATTTATGGCGGCTATTTTCAAAAATTTTATAGTCCACCGTAGTATATATTATGGTTTGACTAGACTTGATTCCTATAAATAAATAGATGTGAAAATAGTTTCTGTTCAATAGCAGACATTTATGAAAAAAGGGTTGATTTGTTTTAAAACACATTTCTAAAATTGGTTTGTTTTTATTTTTGGAACTATTGACTGTTGGCAGCCTTTTATCATTGAAGTTGACGTTTACGATGAAAATTATTTTATATAGGTTATGTTATTTGTTTTGTTATTATTTAAATAGTTTTTAGATACAGTGATTCTCGTTTTAGTTAAATATGATTAATTCTGATGCACCAGATGTAACAAAAAATAAAAAACGCACAAAAGAGTCAGAAGATGATTCAGACTCGGATAATGTTGTAGGACCTTCTTTATCAGAAGCTGCTAAACCTAAGAAACGCAGAGTTCTTTCACATGAATATCTCTACTTAGAGGCTTTACCATGTGCAGAATCTTACGAAAGAAGTTACATGCACAGAGATGTTATAACGCAATGTGTTGTGACCCCCACTGATTTTATTATAACGGCAAGTTGTGATGGCCACATAAAATTTTGGAAAAAAATGGAAACTGGAATTGAATTTGTGAAACATTTTAGGAGTCATTTAGGTCCAATTGTAAAAATAACTTGTAACAGCGAAGGCACTTTGCTTTGCTCTGCTTCAGTTGACAAATCATTGAAAATTTTTGATGTTGTTAACTTTGACATGATAAATATGATCAGGTTAGTGTTCTATAAAAAATTAAACTAAACTACAATATACATATTTTCCTTTTTGTTTTTGGTCGATAATTATACTTATTGCCCTCTACCAAAGACCAGGGTTGGATTCTGTTTCACGATTCGACTCGAATTTGATATCAAACTCTATAATAGAAATTCTGTTCAAAGAAATTCGATAATAAACTCGATTATTATTATTATTATCATCTTTAGAGTAGTTGATTTGATATGAAATCGTTAAGGTTGGATTATTTTGACATTAGGTATGACAACCTGTTTTATAATTCAGTTAAAAATGTCTCTGTAAACTGTAAAGATATTAGCAATCCTATTGTCAATATTCTTAGAACATCAATAAAAGGATTATTTATTATGCAAAATGCTACAAAATATAAACATAAGTAGGTATTCTTCATTCAGCTGAAAAAGTTCTCCAAAGTGATTTTCAGGTAGTTCAAAAGGATCACTTCTTTTTCTTAACTCATCCTTTCTTTAGCCTAATAATAATATTAATAATAAATAACATTTTTATAATTTACCCCATTTAGAGGGATCCCTGCAGCTCTGAAAGCAGAGTTTGTGTCTGGGAGGGACGACTAATTATTATTTTCCCTGGTACTATGAGGCTACTTACAGATGTCATTTGAAAACCTCATCCATTAACATAAAAACAAATAATTCACATCGTAGCTAAAGAAATAGAATTTAAGTTTTGTATCTCTTTATTTAGTCAAAAAACTAATTCTATTTACATATACAGCATACATAGTAATAAAAAAAAAATAGTACAAGTACAATACTAATTTTTACAAACTAATTCTTTTCATATATACAGTATATAAAGTAATAAAGAGTACAACATGGAGTTTTTTATAAAAAATACATTACACATAAATGAAAATTAAATTTAGAAGTAAACAAATTTACACTAATATATGTATCACACTGAGCTTATTCTGACATGAGATAGTTTTTTAATTCTCTTTTGAAAATATTTACTGACCAACTTTTTTTGATATATTCTGGTAAATTATTAAAATAATTTATACCTTTGTGAAATACAGAGTTATATGTACTGCTTTTTCTACATCTTTGAATTCTGAAATTATCCTTATTTCTTGTGTTATAATTATGTACATCCATACTATTAGAGAGCCTATCCTGCAGATACACTGATGCACATCCAATTTTGACTATAAAAATAAAAATTAATGTGTAATATATAGTAATAATTTTTTTATTGGAAGCCAATTTAGTGCATTTAACATACTGTTTATAGGAGTGTACTTCGAACATTTTAATAATATTCTCATGGCACGGTTTTGCATTTTTGGAGACGACTTATTTCATTTTGGTTGAGTAAATACAAAATTGTAGGACAATAATTGAAATGTGGCAATATTACAGTGTTGAAGATTGTTAATTTTGACCATTGGCTAAGATGTGGCGAACATCATCTTAAATAATTAATTTTAAAGGCTACAGTTTTAATAACTTGATTTGCATGATCCTTAAATTTTAAATTATTGTCAATGGTTACTCCTAAATAAACAATTTTTTTTACTATTTCTAAATTTTCATCATCTAATGTTATATTTAAACTATCTTCCCTATACCTATTTTTTACGCCTAATATCCATTTAGTTTTTGAATATTAATTTTTAAGAAATTTGCACAATATACCGGGTGTTCAAATTAAAGTGTTACAGTTAAATACCCCCGAAAATATGCATTTTAGAAAAAAAAGTTTTAGACAAAAGTTTTATAGTTTTTTGGGGGAAACATTTTGGCTAAATTAATTTTTTATAGCTGACCATAATATGGCCATATCGAGATGGACTTTGTTTTTTATAAATGGGAATCCCATTTTTGTTTTACATATTCTTAAAGTACATAAAAAAATAATAAACTTTTGATAAAAATATTTTTTTTATTGGACTTTTACTTTTTGAGTAACAGATACTTGAAAATTTTGCTGGATGAAAAAAAGTTGGCCATATTATGGGTAGCTATAAAAAACGATTTTAGCCAAAAATTTTTCCCTACAAAACTATAAAACTTTCGTCTGAAACGTTTGTTTTATAAAAGGCAGTATTTAGCTGTAACACTTTAACTTGAACACCCAGTATATGCACCCTCTTCAGGGAATCATTCATGACTGTACTCCAGATCACTGCTGCAAAAATACAGTAGAGTATCATCTGCAAATAAATGAATTTTGCATACCCCTGCAATGTCCAAAATATCATTTAAATAAATTAAAAATAGCAGAGGCCCCAAAACACTACCCTGCGGGACACCCATTTCATTACATAACCTGTTGGACTTCATGTTGTTGATTTTTACCATTTGTTGCCTGTTGTTTAAGTTCGATGTTTAAAAGTCAGAGTAGTTCATATTTTGTCGAATTTCCAAAGTCAATACCAGATTGAATAATAGAATCACTTTTCATAATTCTGTCGAATTATGAATCGTATAGAGATCAAGTTACTGGAACGAAATCCCACCCCTGCTCTACTATGTTGTTGAATTATATCAGCATGTTTTAAATTAGCATTAAGGGTAGTATAAGTGTAGGTAGTAGATGATAGGCTCAATAAGAACATTTTTAATACACAAAATGATCTGATTATGTGCAACTGGAATCTTAATACTATTGATGTTGAAGTAATTTATCATGAGTTATATTCAAATTGTGAAAGAGTTATTAATAAGGTTGCCCCTATTCAGACATGTAAGTAAAAGGTCCTCACTTCGAAAATATTTTCTCCCTACTTCAATTACCTCAGCCAAACAAAAAACACCTCTAAGCTAATATGTTAAAACTTTTCCTGTAATCAATCACATCGCCTCCCCTTTCTCTTCTTATGTCGAATTTCTCATGCAGAAACAGAAAACCCTATTGTCGGGCCCCCTTATAACGCTGCCGGGCCCCCATTTGAGCCCGGGCCCCGGGAATTTGTCCCGGCTACCCCCCCCCCCTCTAGTCGGGCCTGGGTTTGATAATGAGATTTACAATAAAATTAAAATCAGAGATAATGCTTACAAGTTTTTCAAATCATGTGCAGAACATCAAAAGCTGAATATGTGGAATAAATTTAAAAAATGTAGAAATGAGGTAGTTAATGTGCTGAAATCAAAAAAATCTACTTATTATTTTAATAAAAGAGATGTGGAAAACTTTAAAAAACTAGTAAATATTAAATTAAATGATGTTACGGATCATGTTCAATTTAGTGATCAAACAGGCCATATTTCCTTTATGATAATGTTGACATAGCAACTAAATTTAACAAATATTTTGTTAAAAGTATTATGGATATTATTGGAAGTATTGATGCAACTGTTCCCTGGCATAATATAAACAATAATTTATACTTACCATTTCACAACTTTAATTTACTAACTTTACATGACTTATATAAACTTTTAAGCTTGTTAGATAATAAATATTCTGCATTTAATATTCTTAATTCTAAAGTTCTAAAGGAAGTGTATGCAACAATTGGGCACATTATTTTAAACCTAATTAATACCTCACTTGATACTGGCAAAGTTCCATCTCAACATGTTAATAATAATTCTATTTTAATAACTAACCAGTCTGGGTTCAGAAAAAATAATTCCTGTGAGTCTGCATTAGAGTTAATGGTGAGTAAATTTAAAAATGATGTGGATGAGAATAAATATGTAGTAGCTATTTTTTTAGACCTGAAACGTGCATTTGAGACCATTGATAGGGGTATTTTACTTAAGAAAATTTAACAATATGATGTAGGTGGAAAAGTATACCAGTGGCTGAATGATTATCTGCAAGGTCGTAGACAAATTTTAACAATCGGATATCACCCGAGATTAACATTGACAAAGGGGTTCCGCAAGGAAGTGTCCTAGGGCCTCTGCTTTTTATACTATATTTGAATGATATTGGACTGTTTGTTGATTGTGAATTCATTAATATTTTTGCTGATGACACTGCTAGCATGCTCTGATATAAATTTAATGAGTGCAATCGAGAAAATGAATAAAATACCGGAGAAAGTTGCCTAGTATTTTCAACTTAACAAATTGAAATTGAATGTAACTAAAACAAAAGCACTTATTTTTACAACTAAACATAAATATAGCTTACTTGATATCAGTGATGTTAATTTACAAATAAATGGTGAAAAAATCGCAATAGTCCCAACTATTAAGTATTTAGGTATCCAATTAGATAATCTACTTAGTTTCAATGATTTCTTTAATTATATTAATTAAAAAAATTTGAAAAAATTATATTTCAAATAACTTGTCAACTTCAACTAAAATAACAGTATATAATACAATTATTCAGCCTCACTTCGATTATTGTGCCTCCATTAATCATTTATTTAATCTCAACAAATTAAATCAACTTCAAAAACTACAAAATCGAGGCATGCGCATAATATTAAAAACTAATCGTCTTACACCAATTGCCACAATGTTAAATTCTCTTAAATGGTTTTCGATTCAGGAAAGGTTGTACTACTTGACAATTATATTTATAAAATAATTCATTCTTTGGCTCAATCCTACTTTCATCAATTTATTTGTTATCAGGGCGATATTCATGATTGCAGCACATGATCAACTAACGATATATACATTAAAAAAGTTAATTATTTGAAATCACAGGCATCGTTATTGTATACAGGTTTCCAAGAATATAATGAACTGCCCAGGGGCTTGAAGGATTGTAATTCATTAGCAATTTTTAAAAAAAATTGACAACTTTTATTAAAACTGATAAAATTTGATTTTAACTTTTATATATTTGGGTTCATGCTTTCAACTGTTATTTGTTTTATTGTTAATTAAGGCTGTCTAAACTCAAGATTAAAAGTATCTTTGTAACGTGTAACAAATTTATTTTTCTTAACTCAGATTATGTTAATAATAATTATCTTTAAGTTTTAAGTGTTTTAAGTATTTGTATTTCTATAATATTTTTTTTTTGCATATTAGGTTTATCCTACTTCAATATCTATCTATCATAAAGGGATCAACTAATTAGGCTGGAGTGTGCTTGCCAGCATTGATGATTATCCTTTATGTTTAGAAATAATAGGACATTAAAAAAATCCGTCGAAAACTCGAGGTTGAAAAAAATCATGATTCCTATACTTTCCTTATATCTGTATACAGATAGGAAAGTAAAAATTATATTATATTTCTATTTTGTAATAAATAATTTATATAAATAAGTGTTCTTTACAGGTTAGAATATGTTCCTGGCACAGTGGAATGGATACACAGTTCTGGAGAACCCATACACACTTTAGCAGTTTCTGATAAAGATTCTTCAAAAATATATGTTTACGATGGTAGAGAAGATGGCAAACCAATTAAAATCATTGAAAAAATTCACATGAATCCTGTAACTTTAATAAGATATAACCATAAATTTGAAATTGCTGTTTCTGTAGATAAAAAGGGAATGTTAGGTATGTTCACTACTTTATTATTTTTTAGTTTTGTAATAATAAATGGTTTTTATCTGTACATAACAAAAAAAATACTTCTGTATGTCTTGAGTTCAGGCTATTCTTACTCCTAACTCTAACGCCTCTTCTAAATGATTATGTTAATTAAGTCTAGTATTAGCTAATAGTTATTGTTAATACAAGTAAGTGTTAGATAACAGCTTCAACATGTATATCATGTACGGTTTTCAGTAACCACTGTCAACACACTTCTCACAAAATACTTTTAATGGACATGTAGAAAAAGGTTATTTTATAAGTATATATTAGTTAGTATTAACCCACACTATGATGTAAATATGTGATGTTAAATGTAAATCTGGCGCTGTTAAATTTGTGATAGATTATAATTATCGAGGCCAGAGCTTCATGCACTGTTTAGAGAATGCAAAAAAATATTCTTGTAAGAACCTGAGAGGTAACATTAATCACAAATTGATAACTATACAAAAAAAAACTAAAATTAAATGTTAAGTCCTAAACCAACCACTAAAATGAATATTTTTCAGAATATTGGTGTGGCAACAAACATGACTATATTTTTCCAAGAAATGTGGCATTTGATTCAAAATTGGACACCGATCTCTTTGAATTTGTTAAAAATCGTACTGTACCCACTGGCCTTAGTTTTTCTAATGATGGAAAGAAGTTTGCAACGATTTCCACTGATAGAAGGGTCAGAGTTTTTAACTTTATTACTGGAAAACTGGTAAGACAATAATTTTATTTGTATAATCTAATGAATCACTTCTTGGTAATCTTATAGTTGATGGACCTTGTAATGCGCATGTCCACATCACTGAGCTCTGAAGTTTAGAATTTGAATTTGACACATGCCTGCCTCATTTTTTAAGCCTGCTATTACGGTTTGTTATTGTCGTGTATCTTCTGAGGTTATTTTTATTTCTTATAATTATTATTAATGATAATATAATAATTATTAATATTTTTATTAATAATAATAAAAACAAAAATAATCTAAGAAAATACACAATAACAAACCTTAGTAGCATGCTAAAATGAAAGTGGAGATTTGACAAGGTGGCATGTGTCAAATTCTAAACGTCAGTGCAGAGTGGTATGGACATATGCATTACAAGGACCGTCAACTACACGCTTACCACTTCTCTAGTTAAGAAAATGTCCAAGTTAGAAAATATCTGATAGTAAAAGTACTTATGTATAGTGTTGAGTGAGATTATAGGCCCTTTTGACTGACCCTAAAGTCCACTCTTAGCGGTAACCACGGATTATATAGAGGGGCAAAATTTGTATTTAAATTGGCCTCTAGATAACACACGGCTAGGGGGTTAAGTTCAAACGGGACGGGCCTAAGGAACCCTAACTTCCTGACGATGATTCAGAGGGCGGGGAAAGGATTTGCTCTACAGGGACTATTTCCTTTGGCAGTATCTCTCTCTCTCTCTCTCTGGGATAATTTGTTAGCTTCTTCCATTTTATTTAATTATTTCTACCGTAGACTTTTCTTGACAACACTGTATTATTTTGTTTTGTGTAATTTTTCAAAATTTTCTACACTTTTGCTCGAAGGACCATGAATAGATTTCAAAGATAATTGTTGTAATTAATACTACAAGATGGTTTTCATGAATCTCTTTATTATCTCATTAACACCTATATTTATAATATCACAAACAATAACAATAAAAAATAACAATTACAATTATTTAATAATTTAAATACACATTCAAAACATATTATTCCAATTTCGACCTCGTTCAATGTTTTGCAAATAGTTTTTATTTTGATTTAGTCAGCATTTTTATTATTATAATTTACACATCGAACTAGATACGAAATTGGAACGATGTATGAAATTAAACATTTTAAATAAATAAAATAATTAATTTAATATACAGGATGTTGATTTTATTATGTTCAAATCTGAACACTTGTTGATCTTTCTTGATCCTGTACTTTAATATTATGATTTAATAAATAAAACCTTGTCCAACTACACGTTTTATTATTTTATTGCAAATCTATTTGGCGCGCATGCCATTGGGCAAAACTTTACAAATCATAACATACCTATTCACAGGGTGTTATATTTATTCGTATCAATATATGGATATGTGTTTAATACAACTCATTTTAAATTAATTAAATGAATTTATTTAACTCTTCCGTAATTCAATCATTTTAGCTTTTAGTTTTGGATGAAACTTTACCAAGATTTACAGAACATCAACAAAAAACGCAACATTTGCCAAATATGGAATTCGGAAGAAGAATGGCAGTAGAAAGAGATTTGGAAAAATCAGAAAGTTTCGAGCTTGCCAATATAGTTTTTGATGAAAGTGGATATTTCATTATGTATTCCACTTTACTTGGCATCAAATTAATCAATATTTATACCAATAGATGCGTTCGAATTATAGGCAAAAATGAAAATTTAAGAATGTTGAATATTTCTTTATATCAAGGTAGGTTTATAATTTTATTCATATAAATTTTTATCTCGGTATAGTAATTGTATTTTTGTAACTTAAATTGTGATTTTGAGTAATATATTTTCTTCTTCTTTTTTATTCGTTTTAACCTGTTCCATTTGTAGTGTAGAAATAAATAAAATATTTTTATCACTGCTATATTTTTTAATTGTAATTATTTTTGCAATTTTCATTATTTCTACAAATATATAATAGGCATTATAATTAAACCAAGTACAATTTTTTTTTAGGTTCAGCCAAAAAAGCTAAAGCTGCTGTTACTCTAGAAATTGAAGCTTCAAACAATCCTACACTCGATGCGATTGTGCCCGATCCAACAATAATATGTACTGCATATAAGAAATCTCGTTTTTATCTGTTCAGTCGAAGAGAACCAGATGATTTACAAGGGGATCAAGATAGAGACGTATTTAATGAAAAACCATCGAAAGAAGATTCTTTAGCTGCCGCCGAAAACCCCGTTATACAACGACTGTATGAAAACGCCATTTTACACACAGTCTTTGGAGACATTCACATAAAATTATTTGTGAAAGATACTCCAAGAACGGTAGAAAATTTCTGTGTTCACAGTAAAAATGGTTATTTTAATGGCCATATTTTTCATAGGGTTATTAAAGGGTTTATGATACAAACAGGTAATAATATTTTGAGCGGCTTAATTTGAACATTGAGTTTATAAATACGGACCTACACATAACTATTTTTACAGGGGATCCAACGGGAAATGGAACAGGGGGAGAGAGCATATGGGGAGGCGAATTTGAAGACGAGATTAGGCCTCATTTAAAACATGACAGACCTTATACAGTGTCCATGGCTAATGCAGGGCCAAATACAAATGGCAGCCAATTTTTTATTACCTTAACACCTACTCCGTGGTTGGATAACAAGCATACTGTTTTTGGAAGAGTTGTTAAAGGCATGGAAGTTATACAAAATATTAGTAATGTTAAGACAAATGCTAAAACTGATAAACCATATGATGATATTAGAATAATTTCTGTAACTGTGAAGTAAGCTTAAAAAAATATATTTATGAAAAATTATATTTACATAGTGGTTTAAATTATTATATTCTTTTAACTTTGAATAACCTTTTTTCCATATCCTATTTGTTCATGAATAACATTATCCATAGCCTAATTCAAAAAAGATCTTTAAATTTACCCACATGTAAAACCTTAAATATAGAAACGTCATAATTAATATCCAATAATAGACTTGAGCGATATTTCTGGTATTTAATATTGGTAAACTCGCATTCTTTACAAGTTTTTCTATCGATATTCTACATTTTTTCCAGAAAAATATCAAGGATTATTTAAAACATGCATCTCATGCCTGTTAAAAAAATGCAAAAATGCAAAATTCTAATTATAATGTCGAAGTAAATTCTAAAGCCTGCCAATTTTCAAACTAAAGTAGCATTACAGCTTTCTACATTACCGACTGAGTACTACGCTTTTGCCAAATTTCTATAAAAAACTGAAACTCTCAATTATTATTATTATAATCCTTCCTTTTTGGCTTGCATATTTTTTATTGGTTCGTTTGCCAACTCAATAATAGGAAATTACAATCGATTTTTGAAACGTGTTTAGCATTTTCTACAAAAATAATATCTTGACCCCATCAGTCTCGCGATTCCAATTCATCCATTGTTTTCTTAAAAATATAAAAAACACCCTACAGAAAACAAAACAAAAATCCAGATGGTTAAAACTCTACCTTTCAAGCAGAGCTGGACAGAGGCGTTAAAGTACTCATAAGTAGCTTTACAAAGTACTCAAATATCTGAGTAGGCGAGTATTTATATGAATAATACTCGAAGCAAATTAGTACTTTTGCAAATTTTAGAGAGTACTCGAGAAAAATCGAGTAACAAGTATGAATACCTTAGTCGGAGAGGTATTAGCCGCGATAGTAGTGTGCATTCTTGCGGTCTTGTGGCAGTTACGCTTGATATCTTTGGTCACGTCTTGGATGGGTTATCGGTGGACTTAGCCGACTAGCGGTTAACCATCGATGACGTGGAATGAATGATGATGAATGGAAGGAGTAGGGCATCTAAATGGTGGCACAATAGGCCACCTGCGTCTCAGTGCCGCCATGTGAACATCCTAGAAGAGGAGGGAAAGCAGACTGGACCCCAAGCTTGATTGAGGGGAGCCATGCAGTGGCTGGATCCAAGTCTGATTGGGGGAGCAAAGGGATGCCTAAAAGGGTGAAAAAATGAGTACATTATCATCTATTTTAAATAATTCTATTAGTGCGACTCAAGTTTAGAAAAAAGGAATATAATAATTAGTAATAGTAAGTCAGTAAGGGCACTAAGTTACAAAATAAAAAGCTTTACTTAGCACTTACCATTAACGTGCACGCCCAACTATTCATTTTAATATTAAAGTAAAGTAATAAAGGTATTAGGTAGGGGCAGATATACAAATATAGAATTTTTAAAAGTACAGTCTTATATTTTAAAACATATTGCCATGATTCTGTCATTTGACATATTGTACCTTTTCCGTCTTGTATAATTAGATTACTCTAATCTATGATCGTTAGCGTCTATAAGTTATTAAAATTGCCTTAGGTTGTCACGCCGATGGTAGTGGGATTTTGAACATTAATGAAATTGTCAAATATATTTTGGGAAGATTGACAAAGGGTTTTAGAGTTGTCAGTTGCGAAATAAAAAATAAAGAAAATATATTGAAGCTAAGACAGATAGAGATATTGAAGTTGAAGATTTTATATCGTAGAGATGAAATATAAAAAAAGAATAGAAAAGATAAAGAAAGTTTTATTTAAATTAAAGATAAGTCTGTATATCTGCGAACATTTAAAAATAGTGCCATCTAAATTATTTCGATATGTCTCGTTTATGTTCGGTATGAGTCGTAGAGTTCGCTCTAATACTGGGCAGACGCTAGTGGACAGTGTCAAAGTCGTCGAAACTTGAAACGGGTTGAAACGTCAAACCAAATCACAGTTTTTTGTTTACATTTACATCAAAGAAAATGTTCATAACAAACTTTGTTTGCTGTGTAATTAATAGATTTAATTTCCATTGAAAATGAAGCAACGCAACAAAAGGGATATTCGTGATTTTATTTATATATTTCAAATTTTAATACGGATATTACTGGTGTTTCTTCCGCAGACCGGTTATATTCATCCCGATGAAATTTTTCAATCTGTAGAAGTTTTAGCAGGTATTATGTACTTATTTCTAAAGTCTAAAACTGTCCACTTCTGGCAGAAGCTTTTACTAGCTTTTCTAACTGCATACTTACTGTTTTAAGGAAGTTGTATTTATCAAACAGACTAAGGTTAGATGCAAGATACACAAATTATTAATAAATTAAGTACCATAGGCACTTCAGAAGTTAAAGAAATAGTCTAACTCCAAAATTTTATTTTTTTAATGACAGGATAGTTCAAAGCATCATGGATGTCCTATCTATATTAGTTGGGGAGAAGAGCCAGCTGAAAAAGTATTCTATTTTAAAATTACATTTTAATTTGAATGCAGAACTACCATATCTTAAACTATAAACAACTTAAGTGACATTTTAATGGGAGCTAGGTTTGTTTTGCAACAGTGACTACTAGAGAATAGATAAAGTCCGACTGCTTATGGATATAATATAGTTCTGTCTAAAATAGAAGTAGCGTAGAGTTAGGTTAGTTCTGTTTACAAATAATACTACAAAATTGTCTAGGAAGTAGACTACTTGTGTTGACTTGAAGAATGCACATTTAGGAAAACATTATAAATTTGATTCAAAAAGGTCAATAGAAAAAATATTAGATCTAAAAAATGTTGAGTTACAGAAGTGCTATTTAGAAAAACTTGGGATATCAAAGAAAAAATTTGATTATCTGAATATCTTGTTCCATAAAAAAGTCATATTGCCACGGAGATTGCCACAATGTCATGAATTCTTTGAAAAATATTCCATATACAGCACAAGGAGACAGATTCGTTATTCTGATTAGAATTAAGTTTGCATTTCTCTGTCTACTTTTTTGGCGAAGTTTGCTTTTGGTGGGTTTTTTGTTATAATTGATTTAATTTTAATTTTAAATAGCATAAGTTGTTTTTATGCTTTTATTATTTATACGATTCTATTATGGTAGTAAGTGCATTTACCTGTGATTTTGTTATTTATTTAATGTCTTATTTTTTTGATTTCATTTTACTTTAAAAAACAAAATAATGCTCAGAACTAGTTACACATCACAGAGATAACCCAAAATATATGCTATTCTGAAGTATCCAAAATACATTCTTTTTGACTAAACTGTATTAAAAAGCCTCACCCTTAATGGCAATAATATAATTTGTATAATGATATTGTCACAAACCTGAACGAAAAGTAAAAGAACCTTCTCCCTGTAAAATTTATTTTTGCAGTTAAGATACTTCTGCTCTGAAGCGACAAATATGTTGATAATGTAGCTAATTTTAAAATGGACTTAGATATGTTACTGATAGGTCCAGTAATGTGACCCTTAGGTTAATTCAATATTTCAAATTTATACTTTATAATTTTTAACATTTTATATTTTTCTTACTTCAGAGTTATTCCTAGATCGCTTTCCCAAGAGAAATACCCTCAAACGGTATAGTTTTTGTTTAAAATACTTTTATTTTGGTGAAATAAACTTTAACCATCATCTTTAAATTATTAGTTTCAAGAGTAACCTGAGACTTGCTTGTTTTTGCATTGCTTGGTAATTTATTCATTGAATTTTCTCCATTTAATTCAGTGTCGTTAGCTTATTTAGCTTATCTTTTTATACCTTGGTATAAAATGTATGTTAATTTTGCTAGCTGTCTGTCCACCTGCTCCACATTTTAAATTCAGTGCCATTTTTTGGAACAGCAGGTGCAATATTTTAGCTCTTTGATTTTATCTAATAAAAATGTTTCTTAAAAAATTATTATCTGTTTGTGTACTAGGGTTGACTTCATTGTGCAATTTATGCATGATTCTAGTGTACAACTTGTTAGTTTCATCTAAGTTCAAATCAAAAATTATATTAAATATTTAAATACCTACATTGAGAAGTATGTATTTAATTGTTTTACTAAAATAAAAACTTATTCAAAAGTTATTGTTCATAGAATTTATTACTTAAATGTATGCAAAAGAAGGCAGCAGAGCACCTAGTTGAAATCTATTTAATATTTTTAAGCTATTATTATACCCTATTCAAAAATGTTATGCTCATTTTTTCCAAAAATCAAGCTCGCTAGCTTGGAACAAAATTTTTTAGTTTTTTAAATGTTTTTTAAATGTTTTTTAAATGTTTTTTAAATGTTTTTTAAATGTTTTTTAAATGTTTTTTAAATGTTTTTTAAATGTTTTTTAAATGTTTTTTAAATGTTTTTTAAATGTTTTTTAAATGTTTTTTAAAAGGTTTTTAAAGGTTTTAAAAGTTTTTTAAAGGTTTTAAAATTTTTTTTAAAGGTTTTTATTTATAAAAACAACTACATCCTGTTTTTAGGCTCTTGAAGTAATGATACACTTAAAAAATTGGTATATGTATTTAAATTCAAATTAAGTTAGCAGAGCTTCTTGGTTTTAAGTTTTTTTTTTTATTTAAATAACACACATTTCCAGGCTATGTTTAGGCTTTTGAAATATAAAACATTCTGATTTATTTTTGAATACTGTCTTATCTTTTTTTTTTCCTAAAAACAACCTCACCACATTTTTTGTCTTGAAATAAAAACTTTTGCTAGTAGAGAAACTAAATTTAAAATCATTTTTGTAGTGTTTAAAATAAAATATAGATCTGAAGTGTTTCTTTCTTTATTTAACAAAATGTTTTAAAAAGAACACAACAATTCACATGTTACTGAAGTAAACATAAATTTCAGTAAATATATTCGAAACTGTATCAAAACCACTTTGTCAATCAATCAGTCAATGAACGATCTTTGCAACAAAACAAAGAATCTAAATCAGAAATTAAAAATTAATTCTTATTTGTTAATTGTTTTTACGGTTTGAGTAGTCTTACCAGTCACCAAACTTTTTCCTAAGTTTTCATTGTCTTCTGATGAACATTTTTTAATTGTTGTTTTTGACTTTCACCATTATCTATGGGTTTGATTTTCTAAAAGTCAGTGATGATGAAAAAATATTACATTATCTGTACATATATCTTCTTGATTTGATCTCATACAAATGATTGATATTATAATTTGTTTTTATTACGCCTTTTATTAGGAACTTTTATGGTACTTAAATCATGTGGTTTTATTTCCAACAATTTCTATATACCCTTAAATCTTTTTTATATAAGTTTCTAGGATCATTTTTTAAATATTTAATATACTGTAGTAAAATTTCTGTCTCTGTAACTGTAATATATGCAAAAATATTTAAATGCGAGCTATTGCTTAGTCTTATTAGTTATAACTAGAATTTGAAATTTTTTTAATTTAATAATGCATAATAAATACAGCTCCAACGACGCCTATGTAGATAATGTTTGAAATGTAGCTCCGTCTCTCTCACATTTTAGGTTCCGACCCATTTTAACACGAAATAATTTTGCGCGGGACAAGTTTGCTGCGACAAATTTGCGCTGAGACAAATACACGAGTGACAAGTTAGCGCCTAATATATATAAAGTGAGACCTGTGCGGCTTGGAGCACATACTTTGATTATATTTTACTATACGGAGAATGGTCGCACTGCGCAGCTTTCTGAGTGCCTTTTAAAAGGAGATAGAAAACTCCGCCATTTTGAACCCTTATTACGTGTTGCCTACATCTTGGCGTAATATTTTTAATAGGTGCGTTTTAATCATCCGCTTCTGCTTCGGAATTGTCGGTTTTCTTGTTTTAATCTGACAGGTTAGAACGACTGAACCGACAATTCCGGAAGCAGAAGCGGATGATTAAAACGCACCTGATATTTTGCTTGCTGCTGTCAGTGTCAGTGAATATTATTTTTGGAGTCACAGTTTATTGCTAAAGAATCAGTTAGCTCACTCGGACCAGTTGAAACTTCCAAAATAACATCCACTCCAGGGATACAAATTCAGGATACGCAGAAGACTGCTGTTTTATTATAGGCGGTTGTCATATATTGTATTATCTGAGTTGCGCAGTGTATAAGCTGGAACATTGAGATAAAAAGTACCGACGCAGAGTGAGCGATCTGATTCTTTAGCTATAAACTGTGTCATAGGGTTCAAAATGGCTTCGCCCTATGTTGGGCGTGTCGGACCTCTCTCTTGACCCGTATACAGTGAGAAAATGAAAGTATGTGGGCTTGGAGCCATGGTGGGTTGCTGTATATGGCTCCAGCAGAGGTTAGGTAAATTAGTCACGATTTTTTTTTCAATTTTCTAATTTTGTGTCAATTTTTTTATTCAAAGCAACCTGCGATGGCTTCAAGCCGCACAGGCTAGGTAAATTAGTTAAGTTTTTTTAAAATTTCAATTAAAATACTGGAATATTTTGTCCTGCGCTATTTTGTCCTTGCGCTATTTTGTTTTGCACTAATTTGCCCTTGCCCTATTTTGTCCTTGCACTATTTTGTCCTGCGCTATTTTGTCTGCGCTTTTTAGACCTGCGCTGTTTTGTTACGGTACCATAAAAATAGCCTGAAAATTTAACATAAGTTTTTATTCAAAATATCCTTGGCCCTCTGCTGCCTTGTTTGGAATTTTAAATTTTTATTGGTAATGTTTTCAGGTAAAATTTTGGATGTTCAATACAGTCCACCATGGGAGTTCAATGTCACGAGCCCAATTCGAAGTATGACCATTCCAACTTTCACAGTGGGCCTTAGCTATGTTTTTTTAAGAAATTTCAATGGTCTCGCAAAAGTATTTTTGAACCAAGCTTTGCTTACACCTTACATGCTACTCATTGTGCCTAGATTACTCATGTGTTTTTTCTCATTTGGTGTTGACTATTGCTTATATAAACTCTGCTTAAATAATAATGAAAAATATAAGTCCAGACTAATAATATTAAGCAGCTCATATGTGATGTTTGTGTTTGGTACTAGAACTTTTTCTAATACTGTGGAATTGATATTGTTTTCATTGTTATTGTATTTTGTGTGTGAAAGTTTAACTTTTAATAATATTTTATTGAAAAGGAAGGAGTATGTAAACTTCAGATATGATCAAAGCAAAACCACTGCAGATAAAGCTAAATTTCATAAATTGCGCCTATACCTAACTTCAGATTCATATAGAAACTGTTTTTTAATTAGTACATTAACTGTTTTTGGGTTTTTTAATCGACCTACATTTTTAGCTTTTGCTGTGATACCTATATTTTTTTGGTTGTACAGAGGTATAGGGAGTAAATCTGTGACTCCTCTAACTTTTTATTCTAGACTTTTAGTATTTGCTATATTTTCCATTCCTTCATTTTTGCTAAATATTTTATCAGATTCTTTTTATTATGGTTACCTTACTTGGGGTGAAGTAGGAGTTTTAGATATCTCTATAAATAATTTTGTGTTTACGCCTTTAAATTTTCTGAGGTATAATTCACAGTTAGAAAATTTGGCTATACATGGGCTGCATCCTAGGTTTTTGCATATCTTGGTTAATATTCCATTGCTTTTTAATGTTGTTGGAGTTTATGCAGTATGTACCATTGGAAAGTATGTGTACTTGTAAGTATTTCTTTTAGTTTATGTTATATGTATCATAAAATGTTAATTACATTTTTAAAATATTTTTGATACATTTCGTCGCCCTTATCACAAAGTGGCCTAAGTAGCAAATAGTAAATGTTACAGGAAAGCAATAAAATGAATGAATGAAAAATTTTATCATCGAATTCTAAGGCCTTGCTTTATTGTTTGGTAATTCCAGATTAGCCAAAATCCCTAGGGATTAAAAAAATAGTTATGCCACTTCGTGAAAAACAATTTTTTCACTTTAGATCTTAAGTATATTTTATCAATTTAGTTGTCATTGTTTTCAATGCAATATTATGTATGTTTTATCTGCCTGTGATTATATTTAATACAGGTTTAGGAAATGACAAACATAAAAAATATGTTTATCTACTCCTATTAATTTATATATTAATTATTAAACTGCTTTTGAGTAATTAATAGTATCAATAAACAAATAGCGTGAGTTTTAATAGTGAGTCACGCTGGACTCCTACGATAATTCGGTATGTAAATAGTGTGCACAGTAAATACTTGAAAATTTTAAAGCTAATAAATACGTTCTATTGGCGTAAAATGTTAAAAAATTTTTTTAACAATTTGAAAGGAATGAATATTTAAAAAATATTAAAATTATTAAATTGCCAACGCCTTTCAGTAGGCGGAAATAGTATATTACATTACGAGTGTGGAAAATCACTTTTCACACAAGTGATGTACAATATTTTTCCTACGACCACAAAATAATTTCATCAAAAAATGTAAAACCAGATTATTATAATAATTAAAATGTATTTAAAAAAATAATCAACAATAATCGTATTTATTAAATTTTCATAATTTCTAAACAAATAAAAAAAAATAAAAAAAAATAAAAAAAAAATTCTGGCACAGCCAGGATTCGATCGCGGTCGTTGGACGGTCTCAAATTGCAAAGTTGATGCTCTAACCAACTGAGCTAACAGGCCTTACGGTAATTGATTGATCTAATCGCTTATGTGTTTAACCAGAATAAAAAGCAAATATATCTTAGTTATTTTAAAATTATTTTAAAAATAATTGTTAAAGATAAATATCTAGGATCTAATTTACAATAATTTAACAATCATATCGATTTTAGCATTAATATGGACATTACATAGATCAAAATAGAAATTATGTGTTTGACATTTTCTGACAGCTACTGCGGAAAGTAGCATATTCTCACTTGGGTGGAAATTAAATTCTTATTCATACGCGTGTGATATAGGGCACTTTCCATAGGTCTATATAGTGTGATATATGTCACTTTCCTAAGTGGTCGTAGGAAAAATCAATTATCATTGAGGGGAGTAATGTCATTTGATATTTTAACAAGATAATTTTGACGTTTTCAAATCAATTTCAAATAATAGTGTTAAAAAATGAATTTAGATAGTGAAGATGAGTTATTATGTACACCTCCAAAAATAAGAGAAGCAGCTAATAATGTAATACAGAATTTATTACCAGAAAAATCAAAAAACAAGTATAAAGGTGTATAGAAAAATTTTCAAGATTGGTGTAGCAATAAGAACGTTAACTCGTTTACAGAAAATGTACTTTTAGTATTTATTGTTATAGTCGTAGATAAAGTATAGTATTCAACTTGCGGTAATGGTCATAACTCACTTGATGAATTACAGCACTGAATTTATTTGACTCCCAGGTAAAACTATTTCAATCTATTAAAATAACGCCAACTAGAAACACTCCTAGGATTGAAATAGTTTTATCTGGGAGTCAAATAAATACAAACGTATGCCAGGGCTTGATTTGACGTCTTATTCTGAGGGTGTTTGTGCCCTATCAGCCAATTGGCCTCAAATGGTAAGCTTTTCACCAAAAAGGCTTTGACTTGGTATAGAACCCAATTTATTTCATCGTGGGACCAGCTGGTTCAACGATTAAAAGAATACTTTATGCCATACGATTACGAATACGAGTTATGGGATGAAATACGTAGACGTACACAAGGGGCTAGAGAGAAAGTAGTCATGTACGTGGCCGCAATGGAGAGAGTCTGTTTAATAAATTAGGTACGAACAAGCCGAGTGAAGAGATAAGGATTAAAACTATCCGTAATCTCTTACCTCTTATCCAAAGTCAAACAGCCTCATGTACTATCACGATGATAGATGATTTAGTCCGAGTTAGTCGATCTGTTGAGGAGACTGCTCAGAGGGTACAGAGTCTCTGTCCCCTTCCAACTATAGGCAGCTTTTGGAACCAGAGCTTGCGTATTATAGGCCTGCTGGTCAATATTCACCTCAAGTTTCAGGGGTTAGCTCCACTGTTTCGGCACCCAAGCGTTCTATCTCTACTATTCCTACTCTAAGAGACACTTTCTTCCCATGAAAACCTTCCTAAGTGTTTTAAATATCTTAAAACCGGACACAGATTTAAAAAGTGTCCTAATCCTAGGAACAGACTTTTTTGTTTTAAATGTGGTCTGGAAAATGTCACTTCCCATAACTGTCCCAAGTGTATTCCAAAAAACTAGAAAGTCGGGAATCGGATCAAGAGCAACCACCTAATCTTTCAACCCAAGACTTACTCACGAAGTGGTTGCTTGACTTTGTGTTCGCCCATGCCAAACAGGACACCCGACCATATCTGAAAGTAGATATTTATGGAGTTACAGTACTAGCTCTATTGGATTCAGGATGTTCCAAGATAGTCCTAGGAAAAAAGGGCTGGGATTGGCTCAGCAAAACAACCAAGCTGACACTAGCGGACAATCGCACCTGCACTATTGCCAGTGGTGACCAGTGTCAGGTCGCTGGCACTGTCACCCTACCGATACGTTTGCGCAATCGGATTCAGTTATTTTAGGTATTGACTTCTGGACTAAGATGGAGATAATCCCAGACCTCTTTTCTGATGAATGGTTCTTTAGAGAACAGTCTCTCCCTGACCATGTAACTGCCATACATGACGTTGAACACCTGAATCCCGAACAACGTAACCTCCTGGAACGTCTAATAACTGACACATTTCAAGGCATGAGTACGAAACTTGGCTGTACCTCAGCGGTATCCCATGTCATCCGTACCAGTGCCACCCCAATAAAACAACGACATTATCCACTTTCTCCTTCTCTCCAAAAACATGTAAACGAAGAACTCGATAGGATGCTGAAGGATGGCATAATCGAACCGTCAAGTTCCCCTTGGGCTTGACTAATTGTACTCGTGAAAAAGCCAGACAACACATATAGGTTTTGTGTTAATTATAAACGACTTAACGAAGTTAGCCTACCGGCCGCTTGCCCTCTTCCTTTCGTTAGCTCGATTCGTGACAAGCTAAGGGATGCACGGTACCTAACGACGCTCGATATTAAGTCGGCCCATTGGCAGATTCCCATGGCAGAGGAATCCAAACCCCTAACCGCGTTCGTGGTTCATACACGTGGTCTATTTCAATTCCGTAGAATGCCCTTTGGACTACATAATGCCCCTGCTACCTGGCAGAGATTTATTGATCAAGTTGTGGAAGTGGATTTAGAAGAATTTTGTTTCGTGTATTTAGATGATATTGTCATCTGCACCCCACACTTGAACAACATATTGATGTCCTATAGAAGGTATTACATAGGTTAGTCACTGCGGGCCTGACATTACACTAAGATAAATGCTTCTTCTGTAAGTCAGAGTTGAAATATCTTGGTTATGTAGTGAACGCTGCTGGATTGATGGTAGACGCAGATAAGGTTGAGGCCATTGTGAACATGCCTTCACCACGGAATATCACTGAAGTTCGTAGAGTTGTGGGCTTGGCTTCTTGGTACAGAAGGTTTGTCCCCAACTTCTCCACCTTGACTGCTCCACTAACAGCACTTTTGAAGAAGAATGTCACGTTTAAGTGGGATGATAAATGTCAGACGTCTTTTGAGAATATCAAGACTCTTTTAATCTCTGCTCCAGTTCTATCATGTCCCAAGTTTGAAGTGCCAGTCTTTCTTCAAACAGATGCTAGCGACTATGGCTTAGGCGCTGTGCTCTCAGCAGCATGAGAATGGAGAGAAAGTAATTTGTTACCTGTCAAGATCTTTGACCAAGACAAAGAGGAAGTATACGACCACGGAGGAGTGTTTAGCTGTCCTCTTTGCGATAAAACGATATCGTCCGTGGATCGAGGGTTCCAAGTTTACCGTTGTAACGGACGATTATAGCTTGAAATGGCTATTTAACATTAAGGACCCTGTGGGCCAGATGGGCACTCCGTTTACAACAGTACGACTTTGAAGTCGTCCATCGCAAAGGGAAGGAACATGTAGTCCCAGATGCCCTTTCCCGTGCCGTATCTCCCATTGTATTGCTCTTCCCGATCCAATTGATGGACCGCCGGATAAGTGGCTACAGACCATGTTGACAAGCGCGCAACAAGATCCCGACAAATTCCCTTTATGGAGAGTTGAGGGTACAGATCTTTTCAAGAGGGCAAATTTGAGGTTCCCAGATCTCACCCAATATCACCAAGAGTGGTTAAAGGTGGTACCCAAAGGACAACGCAAGGAGGTGATCAAAAAACATCATGATCCACCCTTAAATGGCCACATTTTTAAAACCTTGAGCCGAATATCCTTATCCTTTTACTGGCCCAATATGAAACACGATGAAGCCCGCCATGTTAATCGCTGTACAATTTGTATACAGAATAAACCTGAGCAACGAAAAACAGTAGGACAAATGTTGACAAAAACCACCTGTCACGCGCCTTTTCGAACTCCTTAATATCGACATTATGGGTTCCTTGCCGAGATCATCTTCAGGAAATTGTTATATTTTAGCCATATGTGATTGCTTTAGCAAATTTTGTCTCCGAAAACGGTGTACAATTGAACTCGAAAGCTTTTCGTTCTCTCATGGAGGAATATCAAATAAAACAAGTATTTACGGCCAATTACCATCCTCAAGGCAATCCTGTGGAGAGAGTGAACCGTGTGGTAAAAACCATGTTACGTTGCTACGTAGGTGGAAATCACCGGACATGGGATAAAAACCTCTCAAAGATAGGTTGGGCCATACGATCTGCACGTCATGAAGTAACGGGTTTAACCTCCAATTTTATTTTATTTTTACGCGAACTACCAATTAGTGGGAACGATGGTACTCCCCTAAATGACGTAATCGACTTTGATAGAAGTGAAGCTCTAGAAGAGGTTTCTACAAATGTTTGCCGTCGATTAAAGTAAAGTAAATTTTATTTGACTACGTTACATATTACAATATATGTTTGTAGTAAGTCACAAAACGTACATATTAAAATAACAGCTTATTTTTAGACATAAAATGCATATGAAGGCATATGAAAACAGTGGTTGAACTTATAATCTAAGGCACAGGCCCGATACATTTTCTCTTAATCAAGAGGTGTGGAAGATACATTTTTCATTATCGAATGCTTCAAAACATTTACTTCAAAATTATCACCTAAATTTGTAGGACCATACCGAATAAGCCGTGTGCGATCCCCTTGGTCATATGAACTGAGAGATACAGATGATCGATCAGTAGGTATTTGGTACGCCAAAGATCTGAAAGCCCATCCCCCAGATTTAGAGGATATAGATCCTGATAGGTATGAGCCTGAGGATAAGAACTAAGATTAGATATTGTATATATAATTGTAGATACTTAGTGTAAATAAAAACTATTCTAACCTTAACATATCCTAAACCAAAAACTATCCTAACCTAATCCTACCCTAAATCAAAAACTATCCTAACCTAAACCCATTCTAACCAAATTGGTCTATTTAATATTAATCTCTGTAATTTCATTTTCGAAACATTGGACTCACGTGATACCTTGGTTGTATTTATACCTGTCCTGTGTTGAACGGAGGATTTCATTTGCTTAAAAGTGTTTTCATCTTTAGGTGAGAAAACCATTTTTTTCCTAGTGTGTAAACAATAATTTTTTTTATTTTTTTTATTGTATATATTTTCGATTATAACTTTTAATATTTAAGTATAGATTGTTTCTGAGCTAAGTTGGTTTATGAATTACTTTTCCTTAAAGTGTTTTCACCGTTAGAAGGGAAAACACTTCTCTTAGGTAAGAGGGGGGTGCAAACTTCATCTGCGTGAGTTATGACCTGCTTTACATGGCTTTACCTCTCGTTAAATAATATAGTATTAACGTTTTTTGTTAAGAAAAATAAACATAACTGAAAACTAATGATTAAAAATAGTTGGAATTGCGTTTAAAACTATAATTTTTCATCAGGTAATTCCTGATAATATTTCTGCAATTCAGGTAATCTGGAATTTGACTTTGTTGACTTACGAAGATTAGGTCAGAATACTTCTTGCTTGTTAGTTTTACTGGTTCTGTATTGAGAGATTCTAATTTAATATCACAAATATTTTCTGTCAGTCTTTTTTTGTCTACACCTTTTAACTCTCGTACTTTTTGCTTCTCTACAATATGTCGTGTGTACTTGTCTTTTAAATTTTCTTTTACAGTGAGTGAGATCTCCTTAAAAGTAAGTTATATAGAGGGAACATTGATTCTTTTTTGGATTGTAGAAAGATAAATTTTGCTATTTAAATATTTTTCGGTATGTACTATAACTCGGTTTGTTAGTAAAATTTGTTTTTTCAAGATGCTCCAAAAACATATTGTACATCTTGGGCAAGGATAAGTCAGAAAGTAAGTACGTTCTTGAAGTTGTCGATGTATAGGCATACGATTCTACACAAAATAACCGTAGCATCTGTTCAGCTAGGTTGCAATTTATCCTGTGGATCAGATATTATTTTACCTCACTAAGAGCCGACTCCACCGTTGTGTTAAACGGAGATTAAAATGACATTGTTAATGTAAAAATGTCATTTTAAACTTCGGTTAACACAACGGTGGAATCGGTCCTAAGATACCTAAAGTCACTTAGTACAGTTCGTGAGGAAAATATTCTGCGTTATTGCAGATATGACACAGAAGTAATATATTGTATTGTATGCACTATTAAGGTTGTAGATATGCCACTTCGTGAGATGATAAAGTAGGTCAAGACTAGTTAATCCGCACAAAAAAACATTCTTTTAATTTTTGTTGGTTAGGTCACTTCGTGATAAGAGCGACGATTTGTGTCAAGGTTGTAACTTATTTTGTATTTTAGTTGCTGTTTGAGAAAGTTAAATCTTCTCCCATCAGTGAGAAGTATAAAATGTTTGATGACTCTATCCTTTATAGTACCTTTGGCAATACTCTCAATTTTTCCTCATCAAGAACCTAGATTTCTGATACCTTTGATTCTTCCATTGGTATATCTTCATGCTATTGCAATATTGCCAGAAAAAGACCATACCATAGTAGAAGCTCCAAAAGTACCATCTACTGTGCAATCCAAGAAGGGAACACCCAGTACTTTTTTGCTAAAAATTTGGTGAGTGATAGGGATATTATGTCATCTATTATAATAAATGAACCTTTTTTAAATTATTATCAACAAATTTTTATTTTTAGGTTACTAGTCAATGTAATTCTAACATTACTGTATGGATTTGTTCACCAAGGAGGCGTATATCAAGCCACAGAATATTTGTCATACCAGATGGGTGCTGTATCTACTAACACAGAGTACCACATAGTTACTAGTCATATCTATTCCATACCAGAATCATTTTTCTTACAGCATTCCAAGTATCAACTGTACTTAAAAGGAAAGATTAATACTGTAGTGAGTAAAAGAGTTTTTTTGTATGAAGAGGGTTCTAAGGACATTTCTTTAATTACAAAAAAATTGAAATTATTACTTGATTTGAGAAAATTCAGTGTTAAGGAGTCAAAAACTTATTTATTAATCTCAGGTAGCTTAGAAGATAGTTTGGATTATGAATTTAGGGAAAGCAATTTAAAACTTCATCTCATTAAGAAGTTTTACCCACATTTGAGTTTCGAAGCTTTTCCAGATTTTTCAATTTATTGTTTAGATTTAACAAAACCGTTATATAAATATAACTGTTTGCCTTTGCCATTAGAACAATATATGAGGTGGATTTTTAGTCTTTTTGGTCTCAATTTATATAGGGTTGAATTCAAAGCTTAAATGATTTTAGGGAAATGAACTAAGAATTAAAGGCTGCTTTTATTGTTTTTTTTTATAATTTATTAAAAAAAAGGTTAATATATGATTATATTATCTAATTATTTACAAAAAGTGTCATATTTAGAATATGTGAAAAAACTTACAACATCAACTGATCATCTAATTCGTGTTTTGGTTGCAGACTGGCAACCAAAAATGTTTTCAATTTAGTTCCTGTTAGTACACTATTGAAAGTATTGAAAAAGGCATCAAATAAAACAGTTATGTCAATCTAATCTTTATTTAGCCATTAGTCATACGACGTAGTAGTCTCACCAGTAAAATTAATTCTCTTAAGCTGAAAATATACTTACCCCATCGAAATAGAATAAACACTAAACACTATTTTGCGATATGACAGATGGACGCATTTCGAGTGACGGAAAAGTATAATAAAAATAGCAACTTGAGTGGTTCTTTGATTTCTTTGAAGTCAATAATTTAATATTTGAAGACTGACAGTTTGACATATGACATAAAAATGTATTGCAAAGTTGCGGACATTTTAGCATCTTCATAGCATCTCCTTTTTGTTCTATCTCAATGACAAATTAATTTGGGATTATTAAGATATTAAGGGGCCTATTCTGTAACAATTCCTTTATATTTAACGGCCTTTAAAAATATTGTCGGCCTTTAAAAATATGTTCGTATTCGTTAATTTACTTCTATCATTATTTAAACAGATTTCTTTAAGATAGTCCTCTAATGTATTTTAAAGATCCGTTTAAATAATGACAGAAGTAAAGAAGAAAATATTTTTAAAGGCCGTTAAATATAAAGAAATTGTTACAGCATAGACCCCTAAGTCTGGTATAATAATAATTTTCGAATTTCACCTTTTTTTTTTTGTTTTTGAGTCAATAAATTTTCGAAATAATCTTCAGTAATGTAAAGTTAACAGTAAAAGTTAAATCGCATTGTGTTACTGAAAAAATTATTAAAGTTTTTGAAATTGTTATTATGCAAGGTTACTGCTAAATCCCATACAGCACAAAAACATTTCGGAAATATTTCAAAAAAGTTATATTGAACTATTTGTAATGTATAAATATTACGAAATGTCCCAGAAAAACATTTTTGAAATGTGCCTGAAACGTAAAAATGTAATTTAAATATAAAATTTCACAGTAACATTTCTGTAATAAAAATTTGAGATCATTCAGAAATATTACATAATAATATTTCAGAAACCCAGACAGCACACCAAATCCTTTGGATATCTACTGAACATCCCAATATCCACTGAATGTCCAGTCCATGGTTGATATCCATTTTATATCCATGAGATGTAATTTATAGACATGGACATGTCCATAAATAATAGTAATTATATAGCAAATTATTAAAAAATTACGCCATTGTGGCTAATAGTACCGTTCAGATATTTAAAATTAATTTTTTTAAGGTGTATTTAATATCTCATGGACATCCACTAAATATATCGAAGTCTAGGCGCGAACGCAAACTATCGTGGATATCCACTAGATGTTATTTGATTTTGCTTACTAAATATAGATGGCGATACCACTTACACATCTACTCATGCTCGACCCGCCGTAATTGAGTTCGATAGAAATTTTTGTCCTCCAGACTCCATTAGAGACTGGAGTCGAGAATTTCCATTTATTGCTGAAGAGTCCTAATAAGGATGACTTTCTCCTTAGTGGGCAAAATCAAAGGCAGAGTGTTGAAAATATTTTAAGTGTTGAAAATATTTTTTATCTCTGCTATTTTCTTTCGACGTTATTCAATAATCATTGGTTACTTATGAACCTCTACTAAAGATACCCATAAAATATTTTGCTGAATATCCGAATATCTTCTATATCCTGGGATATAGACGGACATTTGGTTGGATATCCATATTGGATATTTTGAATATCTCTGGGATTTCTTGTATTTTCTGGAAGATACCCATTAAATATTTTGCTGGATATCCATTAGGATATCTTCTATATTCTGGATATAGACGGACATTTGGATATCCATATTAGATCCACGGAATATTTCTGATATCTTGTGGATATATTGGATATCCACAAAAGATATTCTGTGGATATCTCTGGGATTTGGTGTGTTGTGGTGTGTATATTCTAGTTTTTTTTATAAATATTATGAAGCGTTGTAGAAATGTTTCTAAAATATTATTAAACTAAAAAAAGACATTTAAAAATATACTTGTTTATTTAAAATACACAAAACAGAAACATTGATTTTTAAACAAATAAACAAATAAATATCTTTTAATCATTATTTTATAAAATATAAATGCACTCATCTAAAACAAATTATAGGTACTTAAAAAAGGATTTGATACAAATTATTTGATTATCAATAGTTTTATTAATATTGTTTTAAATTAACTATATTAAAACAAACAATAGGTAGGTACATGCCTAAACAAAACATGAAGCTCTCCTTTTTAACCAGAGCTGTATAACTTAATAAATAAAACTAGATGAAGAAACAGAAAATGTAGCCCAGACAGCACACCAAATCCTTTGGATATCTAATGAACATCCCAATATCCACTGAATGTCCAGTCCATGGTGGATATCTATTTTATATCCATGAAATGTAATTTATAGACATGCAAATGTCCATAAATAATAGTAATTATATAGCAAATTATTAAAAAATTACGCCATTGTGCTCGCCACTGTGGCTAATAGTACCGTTCAGATATTTAAAATTAATTTTTTTAAGGTGTATTCTATATCCCATGGACATCCACTATAAATATAAATATAAATATAAATATATCAAAGTCTAAGCGCGGACGCAAACCATCGTGGATATCTACTAGATGTAATTTTTGATTTTGCTTCCTAAGTATAGATGGCGATACCACTTTCGTATCTACTCATGCTCAACCCGCCGTAAATGAGTTCGATCGAATTTTTTTGGCAATCACACTATTAGAGATTGGAGTCGAGAATTTCCATTTATTGCTGAAGAGTCCTAATAAGGATGACTTTCTCCTTAGTGCCCTTATAGTGGGCAAAATCAAAGGCAGATTGGAAATATTTTTTATCTCTATTTTCTTTCGAGGTTATTCAATAATCATTGGTTACTTATGAACCTCTACTAAAGATACCTATAAAGTATTTTGCTGAATATCTGAATTCTATATCCATATTGGATATCCACAAAATATATTCTGTGTATATCTCTGGGATTTCTTGTATTGTCTGGAAGATACTCATTAGATATTTTGCTGAATATCCATAGGATATCTTCTATATTCTGGATATAGACGGACATTTGGATATCCATATTAGATCCACGGAATATTTCTGATATCCTGTGGATATATTGGATATCCACAAAAGATATTCTGTGGATATCTCTGGGATTTGGTGTGTTGTCTGGGAGGTTATACCTGTAAATTTGATAAACGAAATGGCGTCACTCGTCTCAGTAAATGAGAAAGTAAATTAACCTAACCTTACTTATAAGCTTTATTTCTGTAGTAAACTCACCTCAGTTTCTAAATACATTCTGATTTTCATATAACAGCACAATACATAAATAAATTGACAAAAACCGACAACAAAGGCAAACGTCTAATTATTTAGAATATGGGGTTGTCTCTGGCTCGACATAAGGATGAAATAAAATGACTATATAATCCATCTTTTTCCTCCTCTTCTTAAAAATCAGAAATTCTTCATTAAGTGTTGGTCTTTTACAACATACTCCGTTTAGTAACCTTTTGTGTAACATTTATACCAGAGATAAGGGACATAAAGATGGGAAACGCTCATAAGAAGCCCATGCTTAACAACGACCAGCTCCAACGCAGTTAATATATGACCCACTATGTGGCGCTTTGATCGATATCAAATAAATAACGCACCGGGAAATTTAAAAACCTGAAAATAAAGGTTGTATAAATATCGACTGCACTCTCATGTAATTACACGCTAAATTATTTATTAAAAAGAATACTACATTTACAGTCTATTATCGATTAATTATTGTAAATCTATTCCTGACAAATATTTTGTAATTTTTGATCGGTACCTATTTGTATTTTTAACATTTTTTATTTCATTTTCCAGTTTCCAAACGAATGGCCAAACGGTGTCCGATTTAAAAATATTTAGTGCAAACTCAATAATGGGAATTCGAATATTTTTCTTCCTATATCAAATCTTCTCTCTAACATTTTGAAACCATTTTCTAGTTCTAAAACAATATATATTTACTTTGTAACTAAAGTTGCCTACTGCTTGTGTTACTTACATGGCTAGATCTTTTGTAAATTAAACAACCACAACCATTTCGCTTAGTTCATCTAGATTATAACACAATCATAAACTCAAAATTTAAAATTCAAATTCAGGATTCTACGACATACATAAAACTAATTGACATACACATACACGTTCTGCTGTCCACATTTACTGTCTATCTACAAACGACGTGTACCTTTAGTTAACATCTTTATGTACATAATCTCTGATTTACACCATGTTTTAAAAACATTTTCAGTAAAATATTTAACTAAAATATTTTAGAAACTTGGGCCTGAAATTGTATATGTTTGAAATATTTCTGAAACACTTCTGAAATAATGTGTGCTGTATGGGAAATTAAGCAAAGATGATTGCAAAAATGAATCTAATACTCTTTGTTAAATAGACATAACAGCTTGATGATGTGAATCTATAACAAGAAATGATTGATGATGATATTTTTTTGATATACCTATTTTTTATTAACCGACTTCAAAAAAGTCGGTTATCAATTCGTCGCGATATATTTTTTTTATGTATGTTCAGCGATTATTCTTTAACACGGTGTCCGATTTCAATGATTCTTTTTTTGTTAGAAAGGGGGTACTTTAGGGGTGGTCCCACATAAATTTAGTCAAAATCTAATAATTGGGTCCATGAGAAAATCTTCAAACTTCATTTTTTATGTATGTTTAGCGATAATGCTTTACTACCTTGTCCGATTTATGATTCTTTTTTTGTTAGTAAAGGGGTACCTCAGGGGTGGTTCCATATAAATTTGGTTAAGATGTGGTGATGGAATCTGCACGTTTTTGAAGTCGGTTTTTTTAAATTTTTAATTTCTAATACTTGTTATGTATCTGTTACCTTTTATTTACACACGTTCAAAGCATTTTATATATTGTAATTTTTTTATACAATTAAAATATTTTTCACTTCAACTTGTTTTATTTTTCTCACTTTTTCAGTCTTACTAGTCTATTATTTATTATTAAACATGTTACTTCGTAACATTCTCCCCTTTCTAAAGAAAAAAAAAAATTAAAAAAACTGGGGGTGGGTTGGCTCAGTGGTTAGAGTCAGGACTTTGAGATCGGAAGGTCTCAGGATCGAATCCCACCGTTGGCCGGGATTTTTTCATTTAATTTAATTATTTAAAATTAATTCTGATGCCTTGGTAGGATTCCCCACTCGACCATTCACTGTTGGGTTCTAATTATAGTCCTTCCATTATCAATTGCCGAACACAGTTATGTGGGGAATCATCAATATTTAATATATACGCACGGTACTCATGCCAAATTAAGAAACGAAAAATAATGTTTACTCCCCTTATACAAAGCGGTAAATATTAAACGAACCATCAGTTGTTTACCAATGAAAACATCGAATCGTAAACTTAAATGCACTGTATTGGCCGAAGGTTTACGGAAGGCAGGTGTTCGAAAATATTCCTGGAAGACAGTCTGCGATATCAGTGGAGTACTGTCGTGCGATGTGTTTTGTATGTGTGGTTGGTTTAATTTAAATTTCTTTTAATAAATATAAATATGGCGTTCTTTAGACCATGGGCGAATGAAGAAAATGAAATTGCACAGTGTAGTGAGATTAAAGACAGGTATGACTTTAACGATAAGGATTTAGATATACAAACACAACAAGTTATTTTAAATATATTCGAATGTTTAAAAAAGGAAAATATTCAGCAGTCTGATAATTCGTTCATAATAACAATTGCTGAATTAACTAAAGTAAATAAATTTTCCGTTTATCCGGTAGTCACGAAAGGGGTTGCTGTGGATTATTCATAAAACCGAAAAACATGTAAAGAAAAACTGAAATCAGTTGACAGAGCTACCCAAGATTTTATACGAAGGACAATTTATAGTTTATATAAGGAGAACAGGGTTCCGACATTGGAAGTAATACAGCAAAAGGTGGCAGATTTTCCAGGATACACTTATACCAGTTTGGAAACATTGCGTTAAGTTTTGTCAGCATGTGGTTTTAAACACAAAAAATTGAATAAACAGATGGCAATCACCGAATCGTCAAGGATAGTTCAATGGCGACAAGATTATTTGCGTCAGATAAAAGGCTACAGAAGTTCTAATTGACACATAATTTATCTAGATGAAACAATGTTTGACAGTCACGATGTAGTAAATTTCGGTTGGGTTGGCAGTAGTAAAAATTGCTGTTTGAATGGGCCATGTTCTAAAGGGAAACGCATTATAATAGTACACGCTGGAAGCAAAGACGGTTTCGTGCCTAATGCTTTATTATTATCTGCTAAACAAATTAAAAACTGTGCAGCTGATTATCATGAAGATATGACAGCAGAATTATTTGAAAAACGGTTTAATGAACAGCTTTTACCTTACATTCCACCACAGTCAGTAATCGTTATGAACAACGCATCCTACCACTCGCGGCAACTCCTTAAAATACCAAATAGTAGCAGTAAAAAAGCTCAAATTTTAGCTTTTATGTCTGAAAAAAATATTCCTATTCCTGCCAGTGATAGTAAAAAAGGACCAACAAACAAAGAATTGCTTACTGTTATTAAAGGTATACAGTTAGAAAAAATGTATTATATTGACAAGCTGTGCAAACTCGTCTCAGACTACCTCCTTACTATTGCATATTTAACTCTATAAAGTTAATATGGGCAAACTTAAAATCAGAATTACGAAAATGTAATCAGTCTCCAGAAATAAGTAAAGAAGTTGTAGAACTCGTAAAGAAAGTTCTAGCAGCAGACCGCCAAGAGCTTTGGAAAAACTGTGTTGAACATGTTATCAAAGAAGAAGATGAGTATGTAGTATTACCCTCTTTACAACCCATCATAATTCAACCAAATGATGACTCTAGTTCAAAGGATTCAGACTGCCATGATTATTTATAAAGATACTTTAGAATTGAATTGTTTTTTTTTCTTTTGTTTTATTTGCAAAGAATTTATTTTCCTTTATGTTTTTTTCTTTGAAATTTCGTTTTCCAGAAAAAGAACGAATGGGGTACAAAAAGGGTTCAGTTCACGTCTGGTACCCTGTTTAACCAAACGCCCTTACAGGCAGGTACACTTTACTCGCTTTTTTACGTATTATAATTTAATATTCAGTTGTAGCAAGTTAACGAGCTATAATGATTTTTTTTTAAGTCCAAGTAAGATTACAATTAAGTGCATCTGTCTAAATAAGGGCGTATAATAACGTCCAATTTATAATTATTCGATTTCCTTTTAACGAATACTTTCTTGCATATGATATATATTAAAAGTATTAATAAAATAAATTTATGAAATGAGGTAGGTATCTACGCCTATGGCAGATCAAACAAAATTGTCGGTAAAGGTTCCGAACGAGTTTTTATGATCTGCAATTGATAATGGAAGAACTATAACAGTGCTGTTCCTAAAGTGGCGCTGGGAAACAGTAACAAAGCCTACACAGAACACGAGGCTAATGGCCGTAGTAGTCGACGCCGATGACACCAAATAAAAAAAAAAAAAAACTCATTACCATAATATTCTTAATATGCCAAGACCCCAACGATGTGCTTGAATCAAGCAACTCTATTTCATAAACGTTAGTACCTACTTATTTTCTTTCTAAATTTAATAAACTTAGGAGCTAACTTAGACGAGAAAAAGTTTGCTTTATCTGATAGGCAATAGTTCTTCTTCCACACAATTTGACCAACTGTGAGGGTAAGAGGCCTATGCCTGAGGTTATACCTATTTGAATTCTGTTCATAGGCTTTAATTAAGCGGACTTGAGTACAAATATCTTTTAACAACTTCACGTGAGTTGATAGGTTAGAAGTGTCTGTTACTTCTAACGAAGAAACTACCCTGAGATTCTCCATAATTTTTATACATTTTCCAAAGTTTAAATATGCTGGTGAATAACGAGTAAGTTCATGAACTACAATTCTTAGAGCAAAGCCTAATTTAGGTAAACTAACATCCCATTCTCTCTGGTTTTTAGTTATAAATAAACGAATCCTAGTTTTTAATGTCCGATTTACTCTTTAAGTGGGATTACATTGTAGAATAAAATTGGCATTATAAATAATTTTATAATTATAGGAATTAACCAATTGTTTAAAAGAGTGACTTTTGTATTGCTGACCATTGTCGTAAACAAGAAACTGAGGCACCCCATAGACCAGGAAGACGTCTTCTAAAAGTTTAGCAACAGCATTAGCAGTAGCTGATTTTAAAGGAAACACCAAAGAGAACTTTGTAATCATACCGGAAATAACTAACATATATTTCTGTTTTTTGATAACGGGAACGGACCCATTAAATCTACACACCTACTGCCAAGGGTAGTCTATCACCCTGGTTTTCATAACTCCATGTGGTTTCTGGGCTTTACACACGTCACAGCTCCTAATAAACCTTGCAACATCAACAGACAACTCAGGCTAATAATAGAAGGAAGATATCCCTTTTACGGTTTTGTAATAGCCTAAATGACCTGTCGTAGCCTCACCATTGTTTTCCAAAAGAACAGCCTGCCGCAATTTCTTTGGAACCACCAATTTCCAGTCATAGTCACTATCATACTGCTGAACTCCAACATTCACGAGTTTATACAATTTATTATTTTTAACCTTAAACTTGGGGTACTTATGAGGATGTTCAGATACCTTCTCCAATAAATCGGAATACCATTTGTAGGTAGTTATTATTGGGGTTTTGTCACCTCCACCAATCATCCATAATCTCTTGCAAGAGCTGGGAACAAGTTACAATTTCTTTTATACTCTTGCTATTCAGTAATGAAGTAATATTCCATCCATATTGCGTTTTCATGCTTTCCTGTGTATTAACTGTTTAACGTAACATCCGTTTGAAGCCATATTAAAGGGTCGAGGAGCAAACAAAACTCTTACAGCAAAAGTAAAAAACATAATTTTCAAAAATTACCAATTTTTTTAAAGTTTTTCTTTTTATAAAAAATGTCTGACCTAATAAAAATGTAAATGGGCATTTCATATATCGATTGTGAACCGGCATTACACGATACAACTTTGTTTTTAAGAATAAAAATAAAATTCTAATATAACTGCACACGCCTCTGAATAAAATCAAAACTATTAAAAAAGAAGAATTTAGATTAGATTTAAAAGGAGTTAAGACATTATTTCTTCTTGTTCACAGCCATCTTCTCAGATCTATTGTGGGACTCCGTTATTTACAGTACGTCGTCTAGTTTGATCTTTTTTATTAGCTCTGACAGTTGATCCACGTGTAATTACATTCTTCTGGCTTTTCTCCACCTAGTGTTAGAAACCTCAATCTACCCAAACTATCACTTAAAATAAATAATACAACCATTATGCATTATTTTTTTCATGGCCTACTCTAGAATTCTACATTTTTTGGTGGATCACTTATTCGTTTCATCATGCCACCACTGCATACAAACTGTTTCGTTTCTTTCTATAACAAGGTGTGGTAGTTTTTGTTATAATACAAATAAATAAACATATATTTAAGAAATATTTAAAAATTTAATTTTCAGCAAATATGGCAAAAATCAGTATACAATTAAAAACATAATCAATTTAGTGTAAAAACTACTGATTTAATCAGTACTATTATAACAATTGAAAGGAAATTGATAATTATTCTATCAAGCTTGAAGTTTGTAGGTCCTTGTAGCGTTGACGCCATTGACAGACGTTACCTGCAAACGAAGAAGAAAAATAAAAAAATGCAATTTTAGGGAATTTCTAGGGATTTAATAGTTATTTATGCAACAAGTGCAAAAAGTTTCACGTCACGTGCAATAAACACTTTTTGCACGAGTTGCATACAATATTTTTTCTACGTTCATGCAAAAACCAAAAAATGTTTTATCGAACTACAGTTGTATTATCCAAATCATAGTAGCCGTGATCGTGTACCTTTGTTTGAGGCATTTATTTACGTTGGTGTTCATAATTTGTAATGACATTTTTAATAAAATACATTTTTTTATTAATTTATTTATGAAATGATTGAAAATAATATAAAATATGCAATTGTTTTTAAAACGTAACACAGAAAATGAAAATGGACTAAATATTTGACGTTGATTTGAATATTTATGTTTGTCATAAAACGCTGTAGTAAAATGACAGATGAGTGCAATAAATTTTTTATTGCACTAGTGCAATAAAGAACCAGTTTTTTCACTAAATATAGTTCAACAAAGTTTTGTTTTTTGCATGAACGTAGAAAAAAAAAATTAATACTCCGGTAATTAAATAGAGGGTATATACAGATAGTTTATCAAATTGACATTTCTTTTTAGACAAACCATATCGAAGAACCGCGCATTTTTCTAATAACAAATGGCTTTAGGTTTTGACCTCATGATTTAGTTTTTATATTTGTCAAAATATTCAAGATTTCATCATTGTTCACACTACTGAACTGAAAGTCATTATTTAAAATTGGAATTTTTACAAAGAAGTTGTATAACATTACTAAACATTACATTAACATTACTTAATTTTTTATTATTTTAAATATTCAATTTACGAAGTTCGTGCCATAATATCTTCATCAGAATCATCAGTACCTATACCACAATATTTTTACCAAAACTATAGCTTGGAACAAAATCAATTGCTGAATTACCACTTGTACTTCATTTGGTTTAAATGTCCTGTCTATGCAATTTTTCGTTCCATCGGCATCCTTTTGGACTTCGTGAAGCGTGTTTCCATTAATAGAAATAGTTGTTTTGACCGGTCGACCATTTAATGATGTGTAATCAAATTCAACTCCAGGTGTAAACTTCGTAACGCTATTTTTGAATAAAGTGTTAGACAGAACATACTGGGCACCTTCTTTTTCTAGAACCATTACGGGACATGCATTAAATAGCTCTTTTCGGAGTTGAATAGTCAAACCTAAAAATTAATTAAGTCATGTAAATAGAAATACATCTCTGGGTATAATTGTTATAAAACAAGAAGTCAACTATACCTAACGGAATACCGCAAATGAATAAAAAAGTTCTGCCTCTATCGCCAATGCCCTAGTCCAGTTCGTCTACATCGTTAATTGTATTGAACTACTAATACGGAGTTCACTGAATTTACACCCATACGGATTAAGAAATAAATGAAAGATTTGACTGGTCAGTTGTATTTTAAACATTTACTCATGGGTGGCGTTATTTTGTATATTGCAAGGGGTTCTTAAAGAAACAAAATAAATATAAATTTTAGGTATTTAATTTTGCCTCAAAAAGCTTAAAAGAGATAGTTACATGATTTTGTTGTTTAATAATAGTTGATTCAGAACAAAAAATTTAATTTACATAGACAGTGTTATCCTGCGATTAAGTAAGTACGATGATTAAAAATAACATAACTTTTAAAATTCTATATTAAACAGTGATTATTATAAATAATTGTCTTTTGATATACCTATAAATCTTCAGCATCACTCTCAAAATTTATGTCACTAGCGTCGCTGTCATCATTAAGGGATATAATTAAAGGGTTTATTTCGTTTATCCTGTTTTCACGTGTCCACCAGTCGTCAATTAATTTATCACATTTTTGAACACTTTTTTGCCAAATTTCTGGGGTTGATGTATCCAGTGCTTGTTTCCATATTTCCCTTACTGCTTCTTCGCTGTAACCATTAATTCCCATATGATTGTCATAATACGTTTTACATATACTCCAAATGTGTTCGATGGGGTTAAACTGACAATGGTACGGTGGAAGCCGTAACACATCATGTCCATAACTATGTATGACTTGATCTACCATATAAATTTGTGGTGGTTCATGCCGTTTGGCTAAAGTTAACAACTCAGATTTAAGGGCATATTGTGGAAATGCAACATTTTCGTTACGTAGCCATTCTTGTATTTTGGCTACAGTCCAATTCTGTCTTGGCGGTTTGTTTAAAAGTTCTGTGTGATAGCTCGCATTATCCAACACTATAACAGATGGTTTACTTAAATTTGGTAATAGTTTTTCATTTAACCATTTGATAAACATATCCGAGTTCATGTTGTGGTAGTCTTCTGATTTTGATTTAGAGGAAAATATTAATCCTGCACCATCCACAAATCCATTCTTTCCACCTGCGTGCAAGATTATGTGTCGGTTTTCCTCACCATTAGTATGTTTTATTGATTTTATATTTTCATCTTGCGATATTCTTTCCGTCCCGGTTTGGAAAATATCCAGGTTTCATCCAAATATATAAACAAAGCTCCATTCTCTTTTAAACGAGTGTATTCTATTAAAAAATGTATTCTTTAATGAACAACATTATTTTTTCACATATTAAAGCTTTTCTATTATCTTCTTAAATTTGAAACCTATTTCCTTAAGCAACTTCCAAAAACTTGTTCTGCCAAATTCACCAATTTGTATTTCTCTTAAGTTAGCCAGCAATGTGTTGACATGTTCCTTTTTCGCACGCATTTCATACACCATATCACGAATACGAAATTTTGTCCCACCAGATATATCCGACGTTTTCAGTTTTTTGCGAGGTGTGTATTTTTTCTTTTTTTTTTTTTGCTCTCTCCGCTTTTGACGTTTTTCAAAACATATTTTAATTTTGAATCACTAATACCGAGAGCTATACAGACGCGTTCATGCACACTCACTACTGGCTTTAAAGGTCCTCCGTTATCTTTTTCCGCCGTAAAATACTTATGTAGATTAGAAATTAAGTCATCTACACGTAACACGCGCTTCGGCGTTTTCTGTTTCGACATACGTTCTCTTCGAAATCCAAAACTGAACTAAATAATTTAGCGCAATTAGTCCTAAAACATCAGTACAAAAATAGAACATTTAGGGGGTTATGGTTAACAACCTGTATTATTTTTAACATATTTGTTATTTTATAAGCACACAGAAATAACAAGCTGTTCACAAATAACGTGTCTGTTAAAAATAACATAACTTGTCCATCTAACCCCGTTAATTTTAATTTTATACCTGAGAAGGGGACTTCCGGAAATTCCTGACCATAAAGCGTTTATTGTATTCGGGGAAAATGGTATTACCATAATGAATGTCCAAAACAAAATTATAAACATTTAAATTTTTTCGTGTATTACTATAGTAATTTAATTTTAATAAACATAATTACATACTATATAAGTATTTAATGATTAACATATATTCACCCTCTACCCACCGGAGGACTACGCTTATTTTACTCAATTACCTGATGCGAAATTATCCTGTAGACCGGCTCAGTCGTGCATCTATTTCTTAATCCGATATGGGTGTAAATTCAGTGAATGAACGGTCTATCTCTAAGGCTAAAAATTATTTTAGTGATGAGTCATAGCATGCTGATTACGGTAACCACCACCTGGCATTCATCAGCCCTGCATGTCATTAGCCCTTATATTTTGTAAAGTGTAAACATAATTTAAGAAAAAACTTGTCACTGTAAGCTTGAAATTTTAATACAATGCAGTTTATGTACTGTAAAGTAGAAAAAATTAAAAAATATACAGGGTATTGTATTAAAAATAAGAAAGTTGGTATTGGTCACTGTTACATGATACTACCTGTATAAAAAGTTTTTTAAAAAAAATGCCCAACTAAAAATACCAATCGATGTGTCGTTTTCCCGAATACGCCTCCATTTATTTATTACTGAATTTATTCCATTTGGCTGAAGAAGCTAAGAACATGTTTCAGTTAAGTCCAGAACCATCCACAAGTAGTAATATAAATTATGTTACGAAAAAACAAAAAAAAAAAAAAACAAAAATTGAACAAGTTCGGTGGACAGACCAACAAAAGAAAGTAGTCATGAATTTATTTCAAAAACATTAAAAATAAAAACCTCCAAAAGAAATGAAATGTAAATAATTAAAAGTAAAACATCCCAACTTAATATACAGTGTGTCCAAGTCGAAACCATATGGGAAATTTTTTAATTTATGAAAAAAAGTCATTCTCTACAAAAAGTTCTGCATGGTTTAAAATTTAAAATGCAACCATCGGATATCATTTTTTTTTTAAACCGTATACGTGGTCTGTCAAAAAAATATGAATTAGCAGAAGAGTAAAGTACTTTTATTTTTGACAAACCTCGTATACGACTGATAAAATTTAATATCTGATGACTGTATTTTGGGTTTTAGACCATGCTTGAATTTTTATGAAGAATTACTTTTTTTCTAATATTAATAATAAAAAAGTTATTCATTATAAGAAATCGAGTATGGTCTAAAATCTAAAATACAACAATCAGATACTTATCAAATTTTATTAGTCGTATACAAGATTTGTCAAAAATAAATAAAGGTACTTTACTCTTCAGAAAAATTCATATTTTTTGGCAAACCTCTAATACGGTGTGAAAAAAAATGATATATGATGGTTGCATTTTAAGTTTTGGACCATGCAGAACTTTTTATAAAGAATGACTTTTTTTCATAAAACTAAGAATAAAAGTTTCCATATGGGGTCGACTTAATTGGACACACAGTATAACAAAGACTGCAAAAAATTTAAAGCATTCATTAAAAATATATACTCAAAAAAGTAAATACTTTTTCGACTTTCGATTAACCTTTCAAAAATTTGTTTGCTTTGTTTTTAATGTTCATTATTTTTAGTATTTTCTGTCTATTTTAGTAATTTTTATGTGTCACTAATTAGTTTATTGTTTAATTAATGTTTTCAGCTTTTTTAAATAAAAAAGTTATTTTATTTTAATAAATTTGTCCAAATATAAAAAATCCTATTCAACCGTAATACCTTACTAAATAAAAGTAACAAAAATTCTTTTAATAAAATATTGATTTAAACTACTTGTTCTAATATTATCTACTAGATATTTACTTTAAAAACCACAATAATTTCTAGTAATAAAATTTCTGGTTAATATTTTTTTTTTTATTACTGTGTATACACCTAATATGTCAGTCTCAGTTTGTATTTGATTTTCATTCATGTGTGTTTTATTTAGGCTTTGTTACTGTTTCCCAGCGCCACTTCAGGAAAATCATTGTTAATTAGAATCCAACAGTGGATGGTCGGAGTGGGGAATCCTACCTAGACATCAGAATTATTTTGAAATAATTAAATTTTATAAAAAATCCCGGCCAACGGTAGGATTCGAACCGCGGACCCTTGGATTCGCAAGGCCAGACTCTACCACTGAGCCAACCACCCCCTAAAGACTTGTTTAATAGAGAAAGAAACATCACAAAATTTCCCTTAATTCACTTATAACATAATTAACTAGTATTCTACGAAAAATTATGTTTCATCAGTCTTGTTTAAATTGTTGAGTGGTGAATGGCAATGATGAATGAAATTACGTTTACTTTAATTTCATTTAAATAATAGTTTGACGCCATAATGACAGTAAGTCATATTATGTATATACAATTTGCCGAAATGTTGTTTTGTAAAGATTACCAAGAAGAGTAATTACAACTTCATCGTTCAAATATCAGTATACAATGTTGCCAAATTTTCGGTGTCAAAATGTTTGTAGGCCGAAAGCTGGATATACATCTACAGTAGCGCCAATATCGAAAATCTCTAAACTAATTATATATAACTTTTTCATTCTACCATCATTTTGACACGCACCAAAAGTGTAAATTACTCTAAATTAAGCAAAGATAGATAGGGTAGTATTTTGACCTAACAATATGCAGTCACATTCAGTTCGAATACGATAGAAACGGTATGTCTATCGCACTCTTAACATAATTTATTAAGCAAAAACAAAGTGGCGTCGATATACGGACGCCACAACGTCTTGTGACGCCAAATTGATGGAAAAAGCACAATGTAACGTTGTCAAAATGATAGAATTAGAATTAAGGTATATTTCTGTTATTTATGATTAGTGAAAAAAAATATTGTTTGAATATGAGGTGCCTGTGATGCAATTCTCCATAATTTTTGTTATAAACATAATTTCTCTTACAATTGGTCATAATGGAGAAATTTGAGAAATAGTGCAAAATTTGAATTTTTTTTTATTATCTTTGGCAATAAACCGTCCACTTTCGATCAAGAGATGTGATGTTTTGGGTAACATTTTTTTTTTATTTTACGTAATTCCTAGAATAGGAGACACTCGAAAAAATTTGTTTATAATTCTTATTCTAACTACGGTTGAGCGTTGAAACTTTTGTTACTAAACAAATTACAAATAATAGAGGCTAATGGCCTTAGTAGTCGATGCCGATGACACCAAATTAAAAAAAAATAATGATAATATAAGCTAGATAAAAACAAGCGAAGTGCAAGTTATTCCATGTTAATGACGCAGAAATAATAACATAATAAATAGGCAACGAAAATATAAAGCAAAAGTCTAGAATGTTAGTTCATTAGTAAATAGCAAGTTTGCTATTTTATTTTTATGGTGCTCAATGAGCAAGTAAGAAGATGTCTCGGAAACCTGTTGTATGGCCTGGTTATATTATACGAAAAGGATGATTCGAAGGAGGAAGTAGAGTAAATAGGCGGCGTCAAGTAAGAGCGAAAACGTATGTTGATATGGTGTACGTCTGATCTAAATTGTATTTTATTGAAAAGATACGATGGTTCTTTATAGATAATTAATTTATGATAAAATATAAAACAATGTAACATGATTCGTTTTTCAATATTTAGCCACCCTAACTCAGTTAAAGTTTCAGAGATATGGTCGCGTCTTTTTAAACCAGAAATCAAACGCACACAAGAGTTCTGTACTAATTGGAGTCTACGCAAATCACATTTTAGCAATGCTGGACCATATACTAAATCGGCAAAATTTAAATGTGACAATACCAAAGCCTCACATAGAGTAATTTTACTTTTTCGTTCTAAAAGGCCCCTATTTGCATAAATTAACTTGCAGTAGGCTCTCTTAATAATTAAGTTAATATATTGCGTATAATGCAAAGAGGTGTCCAGAATCAAACCAAGCTTTTTAAAACTTTCAACTAATGGTATAGGTGTATCATTTATGTTTAAGATAAGCCCAGAGTTCGTTTTCGCGGTTTTTTCTTCCAAAGAAGAGAACTTGGGATTTTAATGGGTTAAGACTGAGGCAAAAATGTCTGGCAGTATCCGCTAATGATTGGAGATCCCTATTTAACTGTTTTATTGCTAATTGAGTAATACTTTTAGGGAAAGAAATATAAAGTTGAGTATCGTCGGCATAAAAATGGCTAGTGGAGTACCTCAGTGATTTGTAAAATTCAAAAGTGTAGATATTGAAAAAGGTCGGTCCCAAGACAGAGCCCTGGGGAACACCATTCTCAACTGTCAAATATTGCGATACTATTTTGTCCACAACAACAGCTTGCTCCCTTCTCTGAAGATAGCTGCTCAACAGCCCAACTGTTCATGTTTTATTCTATCAAAAGCTTTGGTAAAATCCAATAGTACAAGTACTGTTAAATTATTACGATCAATTTCCCTAAGAATATCATCAGTAATGTTTAATAAAGTGGTAGTGCAACTATGTTTAGGTCTAAATCCTGATTGCTGTTGAGGTATGATAGTATAATTATTAATGTGTGAACTTATTTGTACATAAATAATTTTTTCGAAGCACTTTGCAAGAGCACATAATATACTAATAGGGCGAAGTGATTTATAATATAACGGTTTACCAACTTTGGGCAGTGGATGGATTAGAGATTTTTTCCAAGTAGACGGAAAAACATTATGGGTAATGCAAGTATTAAAAATGTGACAAAATATATTTTAAAATAAATGGACAAGCGTACAGTAACATGTTAACACTTAAAAGATCTGGCCCAACAGCTTTGGACTTAAACGATAATATAGTTCTATAAATTTCTAGTTCATTCGTCAATGAAAAATTAAAAGAAATAACATTAGGCAATATATTATTTTTGTAATAGTCGACTGTTAAATTATTCACAGGAAAATCAGATTTCGATGCATTTACAAACTACTCGTTAATTTCTTTTGGATTTTTTAGTTCTATTGGCAAGGAATAGTTCTTAGATTTAGAGTAAATATCTAGATTACGTAATTCCTTCCAGAATGTTTTTTGATTTCCGCAGTTTCTTAACTTAAATTCTAAATAAGCCTTTTTTCTCTTTCAAGACCAAAGACTTTTTAATTAGATGGGCCATACTCAATTAATTTATCTGATAACTTTACAGGAAAGTCATATGTTGCACATTCAGATATTTTAATATACACTGTAGAAAAAGTAATTTAACTTGCTAATATTTCAATTTACAAAAAAAAAGTTTTATTAATCCCAATCAGTATGAAGTCAATTAGAAATTTCATAAAACTTTTATTCAAAACATAAATCGAAATATTGGCCAGTTACGTTACTTTTTGTACACAGTTTATATTATTTAAAAGCCGTAAAAAATGCGTAAAAACTAAATTATTATTGTAGTTACAGTGTTGTTATGCTTTCAGATTAACACAATCCGAAAATAATAGATACTAGAAATAAGATATAAATTGACACTTAACCTGTATTTTATTTTTCTTTTACAGAACTGATAACAAAAACGTTTTATTTAACTGAAATGTTATCTACTTTCTCTAGGAATATATTTTTTGAGATCTAAAATAATTTAAATGAAATAACATTTCAAAAACTAGATATAAACAATTAACAATTCGATAAACAACTTAATTTGGCTAATTTTTTTTCGCCATCACTAATGCCCCATATACAATAAAAATTGATAAACACACATTTGATGTACAAGTTCCCCACTAAGGGACAGTATTGCTATTTCTTAAACGATAACAGATGGTTAAATTAAGAAACCTTTGATATCTACAGAGAGATTTAAAATATCGGACCAAAAGTGAATGAATTTAATGAAATGACAATTTAAATTTTTTCTCCGATATTTTGAGTCTCCTGCAGATATCAAAGATTTCTTGGCACCATTTTAATGAGCGCAAAACTGAGCAACTATTGTCTAATTTAACCAACTTTCTATCTGTTACTTATCGTTTAAGAAATATTAATATTGTCCCTATGAAATAGTAGGGATTCCTAATAAATTTATTTAAAGTCTTGCATGATACTATCAAAATTAAAATAAATTATTTATAAGTATATGGTTATATAAATGTGTATAAATAACACTTTATTATTATAAAAAAATACACGTACTGGGGTGAGTAAAAGTGATATAAATTTGAAATATACAAAAATTGCCATTTTTTTGTCTCTATTGGATACATTTTATTAATGCCTTCTGCTGAATTTTTTTGTAAATTACCTTAAATATTAATTTGACGAAATAATTATTAGGTATGTGTTAGTACATTTTTTCAAAAACAATTTTTCTACACACACATGAATATTAGCTTATCTACGCACAGACTACAAAACGAAAAATTATGCCATTGCATTCAACTGAACGAATATATTTTCAATTCTACCCAGTAAGAACACTGCAAAAAATTAAATCCATCACTCATTGTTCATATTTAAATGACAATTGTGTCAGTATAATTTTTACTTATTAGGATTAAATATACGTAAAAATGAGTTATTCTTATGTAGAATCGATTTATATTTTTATTTCGCCCACATTTACAAATAATTAATACATTATAATTAAACTACCTATATAAATTATTTTAAAATTAGTTATTTTGTCTTAATAACAAAATACTTTTTAAAATTGTAGATTTTCGTTAGTGAATGGTAGAAAAAATATACTATACAACTCGAGTGTATTGTCCATATCGCACTCTTGTTAGGTCCGTGAAGTTAGCACCGCCAAACGCGAATTTTTATAAAAATAAGTTGCCATTCGTTTGTCCAGGATTTGTCCAAGTTTGACAAATCGAAATTTTCGTTTGTCCACCCCCTAAAACAAAGACATTTAAAAAATAATGCAAATAGCGAAATTTTTTTTATAAAAATTCGTATTTTGCGGTGTTAACTTCACACACCTACCCTTGCCGCACAAAATACTATTACGAATGTTTATAAATTGTTATTAATAGTTTTAAAGTAATAAATCTTGTATACCTTTACTTGTTTTGGCCTGATTGTATCAATTTTTCAAGGGGTATTGTTTAAAGTTTCAATAAATGAAATATTTAAAACTATTTAACCTATAATAGTATTTCCTGGCTTAAAAAATAACCTGAAAGCGCTATTTTCTAGCTGTTTAAGAAATTTGAATTAGTAATAAAAATATCTCCTACCTGAAGCTTTCAAATACTCATCGAAATTTTCACTTTTTTCCAACTTGTATTTCTTGCCTAAAACTTCGTTCAAACTCATTTTTGAAAAATATACCTGCAACTGCTTCACTTGTAAGAGAAAATCAATTGAGATTATTCAAAATATTTTGCTGGTTAAGGTTGTAATGAGGACAAACTATTTTGTTTTTACTAGTTTACTACTACTATATGATAAATAAAGTACGCGATAACGTTATAAGTTCAAGAAGGTTAGTCAACTTCTTAAATGCGGTCATCTTAGAATAAGATAAGGAAAATACTACATCCGTGTCAAAAAATATTTTATTTAAAAATTAGACAACCGGTTTCGGTAATATGACCATCATCAAGCTTTTCAAGTCTATTCTTTTCTTATCAAAAACGTAGGATTTATATAGAAATTATAAATAATTAATAAATTTCTTTAGAGTAAACTACCTATATTTATTTTAAATAATAATTCAACTATACCTACCTGTCAATAATAGTAAAAAATCTGATGTGTCCAACACATGACTTTCCTATCTAGTTATTATAGGCTTTTTCCGGTTATTTTGTACAACCTATTGCAGCATCTCTATAAATGTTTAGAGGATAAACTAAATATATACATTTTCCACATACATCTAACTCGAAACATTTTTCTATAGATATTCATTGAAAACGAAAATACTGAAAAATTTAAATTTAGCACTTTGCCTTCAATTTTTCCATTTTAGAAAAATCACATAAAAACAAAAATTATAGAGATCGATATCACAAATAACTTTTATTTAAACAATTTTCCTAAAAATTTGAATTTTATTACATTTTGTCAAATTTCTCGAATAAGGATCATTAAAAAAAATTGTATGGAACCAAAATTATAGATATTATAGATATAATATTGTAAGTAATTTTTATCTGAACAATTTTCTTCTCTAAACATCAATAACAGATATATTCCATAAAATATAAAAACGGCCTCCCATAAAGTACCCCCCAAATGTTCCGCCATCGTGCAAAATCTAATCATTTCACCTCAGGCCGAAATAAAACTTACGTTTAAAATTTAATGTTTTTTCCTTTATCCGTTTTTGAGTTTTCTTCAAAATTCGAAATTTACACATTTTCTCAAATATCTCGAATACGGTCCATTTTAGAGAAATCTGTATACAGATAGGAAAGTAAAAATGTCAGGAATATGTAACAAATTCAGTGGCAAACTTATTTAGGATTCGTCCTAGAGGGGTAGCGGGAGGGGTAGGGGAAGGGGGTGCAACAGTTTGTTGGAGACATAAAATATAATTTACACGAATTAATTAAACTTGGAATGAATGCTTCAACTATAGTACGATTTTCTCTAATATATTTATTCAGTGAAAAACAATTTTATTTTTGCACAAATTAGTTTTGGATAATTCAATTAAATCTTAAATCTTCTCCCACGGTTTGCCACTAAAACTTATTTCGTAAGTGTATGGAAAATGTATTCAAAGTTTACAAATGTTAATTTATAATCGGAAGTTTTTAGTAAGTTTTTATTTAAAAGTTTTTTAATTCAATTTGTTTGTTTTTGTTATAGTTAACTGTCAGTGGACCGAAAATTACGTCGCAATAATATGGCGTATAGGCCTTTTCAAATAGCGCCAATTCAAAAGTTTCGTACTGTTTTGATCAACAATGGCTGGAAAAGCAATATTATCTCTACATACAAATCAATCATTAGAAAAAAATCGTTGATGGTGATTTAGATTTTAATAACTCTGTGTATAAGCACATAGTTGTAAGCCAATTGGAAAGGTGCTTAAAGTGTCGTGGATATTTGGAACAAGTAAAAAAAGTGTGCTGATTGAAGGTTAGGTTTCAATACTTGTTAACTGTTTAAAACATTAATGAAAACAAATAATAATTATAATTTTTTTCTAATTAATTATGCCAACTAACTATTAGTAATAGCAAAAACACTTTAAAATTTTAAGGATCAATATGACATTTTTAATAATATTACTGTGTATACCGAAGTAGTATTTATTATTAAAAAAATATTGTGTAATACTAGACAAGGATTTTCTTCTGTTGAACACCACTTTATCCATGAAAATGTAGTGAACAAATATAAGTATTTTTAGTAACATCATCAATCGATCGAAAACCTTTGTCACTTCGACCACATTTTTTCACTCATAATGCTCATTTTCAACATGTTTTAATATGTATTTTGCCTAATGATTTGATAGTCTTTTACGATATTGCAGGCAAGCCTTTGGAAAATTTATAAAACGATAATGTATTACCTTTGAATGATTTATACCGTGTGTCACTTTTACATACTCCATAATAATACCGGTTCGTTTTTTCTTTCCGTACAGATAACATAATTGATTGCAAAAATTTATTTTTCAATTACTTTATTTTTTTTCCTTTTTTTAAATGAATACAGGGTGTTTCCGAACTTGGCGTCCAAATTTGTAGGGGTGGTAGTTCGCATAATTTGAGACCGACTCGCAGATTTCATTTTTCCAAAATATTTAAAATAAAAATAATTAAAAATTAATTAAAAATTATAAACAGGGCACAGCGATAGGATCACCTCGACTCGCGCGCGCTACGCTTAGAATCGACAAAATTGCAAATCGCATCTGTTTTTGAGGACTATTGCGCTACGCGCTCAGGGTAGGACCTGCTCTTTGATTTTTTATATAATGGCTCTATTTTGTTTATTATAATTTTTTAGAAAAATGAAATCTGCCAATCGATCTCAAATTATGCGAACTACCACCCCTACAAATTTGGACGCCAAGTTCGGAAACACCCTGTATATTTAAAATTAATATTTATCGATTATAATTTTGTTTTCACGTGGACATTTTAATATGCTTGTTTACAAAAACAGTACGAAAAAGATGGCTGATACTGACGCAAGCGCACAAAAAAGGCCTATTATAGAGAGCGAAATGTGTCAAATTTTCAGAGCCTTCCTGAGTTATAATAAAAAACGGAGTATACTGGTTCATTCATAAAACGCCTGCTTGCAATACCATCCTTACTCAATTTAGTAACCATCCCGCTCTTTCTAATGCGGCAGCCGAGGCGACAACTTTATTTGGAACAACCTTACGGACTAACCAGTGGCGGCTTGTAACTTGTGTAATAGGGAGGGCTGAGTATAAGGGCACCAAAAAATCAATACCAAAAATCCTTTAAAATTACGAGGCTTTTTAATTCCGTTATTTTATGATAATTATTACAAAGATAAATAAACGACACCACACTAAATCAACATAGAAAAACAAACCACAAAGCGAGCGCCAGATGGGCTAAGGGCTGACTGAGCTGCGCCCGCCAACGGCGCCAACGCATGTAGAACAGAGGTAAACGTTGGAAAGGCTTTTGCCAGTTCTCCCACTTTATACACATAAATTGACAGGTTTGCTGTCCGAAGTGGACGCGATATATTGGTGTACAACATTATTTCATAGACGTTAATAACAATTTCGAGTAAATAGTTTAATACATTGTGAATAGCTGTTGAAATTTTGTAAAATTATGATTTGAATATTATAATACATGTTTAATAATTATTTATAGTCCATAAATACATGCGATTGTCCGGTTCCGCCGATAACAATTTAAAATTACTTATTCTATGAAACGACACTGGCAGGTAAACATTACTGCGAAATTCTCGAAGCCGTCCGACGTGGTTTGACGTTTACCCTCTCTCTACCTACCAAAAGCCTTTCTAACTTTTACTTTCCCTATATCCAAAATGCATAATTTCTTTCCAGTACTCCGCAATCTACAAGTCTGTAACCACCAAGTAACCATCAGTAACCATATGGCAACCGTCTAGCGATTCAAATTATTTATTGTTTCAGCCTTTACTTGATGAAAATCCATTTGATCTTGAAAGAGTAAAACCAAATTTGGTAGATTTTCACACTTTTATTTTAAAAATATAAAAATTTTTAAAAAACACTAACATGACATATGTTTCGAAGTACAACTTCTTTTTCAAATGTGACTATTTTAAATTCGGTATCCAATATATATACGAAATATTTAACAAAACAAAGTACTTAAGAAAAACATCAATAACATTACAAAATAACTATTTAAAGTAAATAAGGGTACTTAGGTAATTATAATATCAATCAGATAACAATAAGATAGCACATTACCGGGATTATCTCACAGAAAACTAGGAAAGAGATTTAATAAGGGTGAATTATTAATATCTAATTGATCATTTAGTAAGTTATCTGAATTTTTAAATCTATTTATTTCTTGGTTATTACTGGTCCGATTCAAACGGGAAAAACGGCATTATGTAGAGAATGCGGTATAGATGAATGTTGAAGAGAAAAATATTGCGCAGTAGCAACGCCAAAACGACCTAAGCGTGTATCTCGGTTATTATTGGTTAGATTTAAACGATGAAAACGTCATTATGTAGAGAACGTGGTATAGATTAACATTGAAGAGAAAAATCTTGCGCAGTAGCATTTCCAAAAGAACCTTAAGTGGACAAAATCGACAGAGAGACAGAAAGACAATAGGATAGACAGATGGAAGGAAATGGCAAACATATTGCAGATAATAGATGGGGTGGTGTTTTTTAATATCTCGGTTGATTGATTTTGATGTGCGATCGGTCAAATAATTAGATACGTGTTAAACGTGAAGAGAAGTGTTACGCAGTGGAAAATCCAAAATGACCCAAGCTTATATCGAATATTGTAACAGGGTTAACTACATTCAACAACGCAGACTGTTACTTAGACGTCATTTACATCTTAACGTGTGCAGTAACGTTGGCAAAAGGACCTTAGCCGGCAGTAGGACAGAGAGATTGATGTATATACAGGCATAGAGACGAAAGGCAACCTGAAGTGTCATTTACAGCATCAATGCCAAAAGGACCATAGAAAGACGGACAGCTAGATGGACAAATAACGAACGACAGGTGAATAGTCGTGCGGAGGTATGAAAGCGGGGATGCGACATGTTACGTCACGAAATTCGTAGGATCTTGGACACCAATGCTTTTTAAGTGGGAAACGTGTAGTTCACTCTGGACAATAGAGTGCTGGTGTGAACATTTAAGTATAGATAGGACACATATTGCTAATAATTTAAATGGGAGAAAGTTATTTGCAATAGGGTCAAGTCAACATTGGACAATGAAAATAAAATATATTTTGTTTCCAAATTATATTTTTAAAGTAACAGTTTTAAGCAGTATTTACAGTAACTCAATAAGTTTCAAAATTGTCTCTCTTTGAAGCTCAGCTTTTTTATTTAGATCGATTTTCAGTAAACTTGTAATTAGTTTCTTTTTCTTAATTTGTTTTTCTTTGTAATTATTCCTAATTTCCATTCCCCGGTCTGTTTTGTAAAATTAACTTCGTTTCTCGTTAGCTTCTTCCCTCCGTCTTATTTCTTCGGCACCTCTATCACATCTACATGTGAATTTATCATGAAGTTCTTTTTCTGATATGTATTTTTCTAAGTCTTTAACACCTTCAGATGCTAATTCTGAAATTTCTGTGCGTACTAAGCAACACTGTTTTCCTCGGGAATGTAACCAATCTTGTTTAAATACTCTTCTATCGTAATGAGAATGAGGTGTACCTCTAAGACCATCTCCATCCCTTCTAAGCGGCTTTTGTCCATAAGCACAGGTGATGTATCTGAGGACACCAACAACATGGTCCAAGCAAATTATTTTCTTAAAAGTTGTTTTTAAATGAAGTCGTGTACCAGTGCGCTGTAGTTTTTTCTTATAGGCTAACATTTTAAATCCATTAGTAAAATATATCAACGCGTGAAGATGTTTATGTGCTGTACTACCATCGTCTGCTATTAGATGACATCGACAAATAGAATACCATTTAATAATTTGGAGGACAAGCAAGTAAATTAAAGTCCTTTTCATTTAATATTAAGTGATACCTTTCTTTAGACAATTCTTCATAATCTTGTGCCATTTCCTGTGGCGACAAAGCGATAATTTCATTTAGATTCAAGAGAGTCAAATAATCAGTTTTTGACAATAAATACATTTTTTGTTATTTTTAGAGAAGCTACTTGTAGAAAATGTCTCAGTAGACTGGAAGAGTCTTTAATATTTCAACAAATAATTAATTTCCCCCACAAACGTACATGATGTAATCGTCGTTGCGACATGCGTTCACGTGAACGAAGGTTAGGTTAAGGAGGGCATACGAGAAGTTCGCCTTGTTTCGTTTTCTAATTTTTCATCTTTTCTCAGTAAATTATAAGTTATATTTGCGCATGAGTAATAGAGATCATCAATTACAAAATAGGTCTACTGACGTACAATTTTATTGTGACTCCAAAACTGTGACCAGCGAAACAAAAGTACATTCAGGTGTCAAAAGGAATATACCTAATTTTAGCTAACTATAATAACCAATAAAGTCGCAAAAGAAAAGTATGTATATTCAGATATTTTCATTCGCGTTTTTTTACTTTCTAAAAGAGCCTCCCCTGTATGCCCGAGGACCGCAGAATGCTCTAAGACGGCCCTAAGGTACACGGTTGGTCCTAAAATTACACAAGGAACTGTACTATTATCTTGTGAAATAAATAATTTTCGTCGGAATTTTGCTCCACTAATACTGTACCAATTTCGTCCACCTTAGGATATGTACAGGGTGTCCCATTAGTGCGTATTGTTCAGTATTTCAATTTGTGTTATAGACACGCAAAAAAGTTTCAAATAAAAGTTATATGAATTTGAAAAATACATATTTTAAAAATATTTTTGGATTTTCGCTTGGCAAATAATAATGTATGTTTTTTAAATAAAACAACCTGTATTTTATTTTTAAAATGGTTTAGTAATACTGTATTCAACCCTAGAATATTTTTAAAAAATATTACAGTGTTGCCAAGCAAATAATTTTTATTTGAAATTAGAGAATGATTCAGACATCAAATTAAATTATCATAATTTAGGTAGGTTTACAATGATTTAAAAATTGTTTAAAATACTAAGCTAACGAACTGTGGTGATAGAACTGGTTTATTTTATACAGAGTGTCTTGAAATATGTCGTAAATTAGGCTAATTTTAAGTTTAAATTACTCAATTTTTTCAAAGCAACACCCTCTATATTATTTAAGCATAAAATTCCTTATACATTTACCTATCCAACGATACCAATACGTTTACTTTTAAATAAAAATATTCTTAGTAAATATTTGAAGTTTTAATTTCCAATACATCGCAAAAAATCAGTACCACGAAAAATAGAAAATAATTTTAGAGTAAAAACTACTGATCTAATCAGTATAATAATAATAATAATAATAAAAATAATAATATTAAAAATTAAAATTTTTATAATTTAATAATAATTTCATTAAGCTTGAGCTTTGTAGATCCTGGTAGCGGTAACGTTGTTGACAGACATTACCTGAAAAAAAAAAACAAAAAATAAAAATATATTTTTAAAAATAATTTTAAATTCTTTAATTTTTTTATAACTAATCGACTCAATAAAATTAAGCAGTAAAGAACATAAGAAACTTTATTTTTTGTAAAGTGCGATTTAAATCTATGAATTTCTTCAGGAATTTAATTAGTACAAATAATTTATTCATTGAGGAATTGACGAATAATTCATGAATTTCTTTGCGACGAAAATGATTTTACATTTTTGAATAAATTCATGAAGCTTTGTATCATACCAGGTGACAATGAGAGCAGGACCCTGTTATTATCTCTTTTATTTACAAAGCGATTTGGATCAAATTTGGAACAAATGTTCTAGACATAATTTAGAATTGATACTTATACTTTAACAAATTAATCGACTTCCGGTTTTACCGGAATTGCCATTAAGTTTGATTTATTAAATGAATCACTATGTATATTTTATGTTTTTTGCAATCTACGGTTCAAAGTACATTTTTTGATATTGTCAAAAATATTGTTCAAATAGCCTCGAATAACTCGAAACAAATTTTATTTTACCAATCGGGTTAAAAAACTGAAATCTATTACGCCATTAGATGGCGAATTTTGCTGCCAATTTGATGATATTCACCATGCGCCACTTTGGACTTTTTATTTTTTATTTTTAAGTTTAAAGTGTTCTACTTAAAAAAAAAATAAAAGAAAAAATAAAAATTTGGCAACAGTCATATGTAATTTAAAAAGTAAATTCCGAAAAGCAGAAAATATACAGGGTTGTTCAAATACCATTTGAACACTCACATCAAACACCTCTACACATAAAAAACAGCGCCCATCTCTAACAAAGAATCATTAAAGGCAAAACGGGTAGGCTATTCACAATGCATGTCAATTTTTACAGAAACAAGGAATATACTATTCACAATACACAACAAAGTAAAATGGGTTGCATATCGACCAGACCAATCAAATTCAAATAAAAGTCAGTCATTAAATGGAGAGGGAAACATGCAACAGATATTTTTAGCGGTAAAACAGCGGTCAGATAGGTCAGATAGCAATCACGCTGGTAACATCTCAAATTTGAAAACATTTTTTTAAATTGTAACAAATATGTACATTTACATTTATATATGTTAACAAGTTCTTAATGGTGTAATATATAAATTGTTCTTATGTTTGAAAGTGTTTTACTCAAAGTATGTGGGTTTTACTACAGTCAAGCTGTAACCTAGGAAACCTGTCCACGAAGAAGCAGTATTCATAAGGTTAGCTCAAAATTTCAATAGCTAGGCCGCCAAACTAAAGAGGCAATAAGGTAAAGTACAAAACCCCCTCATCGCCCCGACAAGGGTGATACATTTAAAACATCGAATTTCCGGTAAAATAGGAAGTAGGCCATTTTGTTAAGTATAAGTCTCAATTCGAAATTATGTCTAGTAGTTGTGACCCAAATTTGATCTAAATCGCTTCAAAAATTAAACGGGATATTAAAGTTGCCCTGGTTTCATTGTCATCCGGTGTCAGTTTAACAAGTGTACCGATATAGCAACAAAATTTGTAAATAAGTGAGGTTAAGTGTTATAATTAATAGAACCGGGACCGAACATTTATTGCATAGTGTTGAGTGTTGGGACAATACACAATGATTATGGGGGTAATGATTGATAACCTGTGTTATTTTTAACAGATATGTTATTTTAACACAGAAATAACAACCTATTCACAAATTTTAATTATCTGTTAAAATTATATTTCGTGTCCATCCTATGTTAAGATCAGATTCTCAAATTGTAGATTTTAAAACCAATATAGAATCTAACAATGATACAGTTATTGAAAATAAAAGACCTTGCGCCATTTTTCATAATTTATCAGCAGCCATAGGCTGCGTTCCTATATTTAGGATACGTTCATATTATATCTCCCTCCTTAAATTACAATATTCAATAATATAACAAAATCTAACACTAATATCGTAAAAAAAAAACAAACAAATGCTTTAAATTATATTTTATAATTTTGACATATAAAGTGACGTATTTTGTAATTGCAGCAAGTGTCAAAACGATCTACTTTATGCAACCAGTTGCATAAAGTAGAACACTATGCAACTGATTACGAAAAGTTGATTATGTCACCAAATACAAAATAAAAAGGCCTCTTTTTGGTTTTTAAATCGAAAAAACCAAAAATGGAAAAATAAAAAAATCGAAAAATTGAAAAAAGGCAATGAATACTGACATTTCACATTTGACATTACGTTTAATAACAAAAAAGAAAACAAAAACCTTATTGAGAATTGTCCAGAAATATTTAGGATACAATTTTGACGTACTCCTTTCAAGGATAACGTGTAAAAACGTTTTATTTTTAAATTTCACGCGGGTAATGCCAAAAATCAGATCGGCAACACTGCACATGTCTCTTGTTTTTATTATTACTATTAAAACAAAAAACGTCGTAGGGCAATTAAATATAACAATTTTCTGAAATATTTAATAAGAAGTACCTACAAAGGAATGATGGTGAATCATTTTTTAACCAAACATAATTTTATAAATAATCAAGTCAAAATTAGAAAAAAATCCTGTATGTAACACGTTACATAAATAGCTATTTCGAAAATAGTTTCATAATATGCAACATTATGCAACTGGTTGCGTAAAGTAGATCATTTTCACTTGCTGAAATTACAAAAAATGTCACTTTATATGTCAAAATTAGAAAAAAATAACTTAAAGCATTTGTTTGTTTTCTTAAGTTATTAGTTTTAGGTTTTGTGTTATAATATTGAACATTGTAATTTAAGGAGGGAGATGTAATATGAACGTATCCTAAATATAGGATCGCAGCCTATGGCTGCCTATAAGTTAAAAAAAATGGCGCTAGGTAAGAACAGCTGTCAGCGGAACAGCTTAAAAGGTGGGCACAATGATTATTATGGTGCTGTAATGTAGCTAAAATTGTAACACGTTTGTTAAGTTAATACAATATAATAAAGATATATAAATACCTACAACTTCTTTTCTAATCAACCCATAAGCATTACTATATGCGCAGATACGTGGTTATAATAACTAATTAAAACAAGCTTTAGGGCATTTTTTAGTGAAGAAAGATAAAATAGATGCCCGTTTGCCAATGGAGTCGTCATTTGAAGGTAATGTCGCAGAACATTTTAAAAAATTCAAACAAAATCTTCACATATACCTCCTAGTAAGTGACAAGGACAAATTTAATAGAAGAAGAAACAGATTTTGATATTGGCTCAACTTTCATTTAGCCGAAATCTGTTATGCAAAAACTGTTGTCATAATAACAATTACGATGGCTATGAGCAAACAAAAACCCTAATCTCATGGTGAAGAAATGCGTAGTTGCCAAGTTGTAGATAATTATGGTTTTTGTTTAATTTCATTTAGCTAAAATCAGTTATGCAAAAAATGTTGCCATGGACACGCTTGTCATGTTACCGACTAAATAAAAACCCAAATCTCGTGTTGGGGAAATGCGTAGTTGCCAAGTTATAGATCATTTAATGTTCAGTTTAGTTTAGCCGAAATCAGTTATGAAGAAAATGTTGCCATGAAAACGCTTATTATCCTAACGACTAAACAGAAACCCAAATCTCGTGGTGAGGAAATGCGTAGTTGCCAAGTAGTGGTTAGTAGGTGGGTGGAACGAGCGTAGTGTGATCTTATGATGTAGGTGAAAAAAGAGCGCGCCCGGCCGGCGTTTCGAAATTCGCGCGCGCGAATTTCGAAACCTTGGCCGGGCGCGCTCGCTTCGCTTGTTTTTCTCTGTAGTATCTAGGAGGTGGGTAGAAGGAGCGTAGCGTGATCTTACGATGTAGGTGGAAAAAGGGCGCGCCCGGCCGACGTTTTGAAATTGGCGCGCGCGTATTTCGAAACGTCGGCCGAGCGCGCTCGCTTTTCTCTCTAGTAGTTAGGAAGTGGGTGGGAGGAGCGTAGCGTGATCTTATAGAGAAACTATTGCCATCGAAACGCTTGTCATGCTAACGACTAAACAAATCCTGTAGTGAGAAAATGCCTAGTTGCCAAGTTATAGATGGTTTCAATTTCACTTTAATTTAGATTAGGATATTGTGTTAAGAGTTAATCTAAATATAAGAGGCAACTATGCATTTCCTCACCACTGGATTTAGGTTTTTGTTTAGTCGACATCACGACATCTCTATAACCGATTTCAGCTAAACTAAAGTAAAAATTAAATGATCTGTAACTTGGCAACTATGCACTTTCTTAACACAGGATTTGGGTTTCTGTTTAGTCGTTACCATGACAAGTGTCCCTATGGCAACAGTTTCTCCGTAACTTGTATATTAAATCATCTGTAACCACGCATTTCCTCACCATGGGATTTGGCTTTTTGTGTAGTAGTTACTATGTCAAGCGTTCCCATGGCAACAGTTTTACCATAACTGATTTCGTCTAAACTAAAGTGAACATTAAATAATCTATAACGTGGCAATTATGCATTTCCTCACCACAAGATTTGGGTTTTTATTTACTGGTTAGCATGGCAACGGTTGCCATGGCAACAATTTTTACGTAACTGATTTCGGCTAAACGAAATTTGACCCCAGATATTTAATACCCTGTAGCTGATCGAGGCTGAAAAAATGACTACTTTCAGGAATCGAAAAGTTGGTTAGTCCTAGAAAAAATGTTGTGAATAAAAGATTCGTTTTTATTCTTGTAAACAAGAAGAAGGTGAAACAGTTGACCATTTCCTGACAGACCTCAAAAGATTGTCAGAAGTTGTGAATTTGCAGAAACCGACTACATGAATAGTTCTCAGAATTCGGTGTAAAGGCACGCAGGAGAAATTACAAATAAATGATCTAAATTTGGCCAAGACAGAAGAATTGTGCAAAGCAAGTGAAGTCACAAATGCATATATTAAAGAACTACAAAGTGGCGAAGATATGAAAGTGAATGCTGTACGAATAAAGAAAAGGAATTAAGCCCGCAGAAAATGATTTTTTGAGAAATTTAAATAGGGATTAAAATAGAAGTCCAGTGTTACGAGAAAAAATAAGAAAAGTGTTCTAGGTATGGGCACTTTTCAGGCATCCCAGCCAGCCAGCGTCCCTTATTGGAAGTGGCCATTTGGTGGGCTTCTACCACCCCGATGGTAAATATTCTGATGAAGCCATCCTGTCGGCTCGCTCAACTTGTATACAAATGATTCATTTAAAAACCATTTAACATCCTTCTTCGAATAAAAATGAGCACATTGGAAATATAAATGTTACAAGAATTTATCATCAGAGTCCTGATATTATACAGATTAACGAATATTTTAATTAATGTTTTATATTATTCTATTTTATCAAAATTACCATTTTCACTTCGTCCGCTGTAAACGTCCTGTCAATGGTAGTCTCTTTTCCTTCGGCATCTTTTTGAACTTCGTGAAGCGTATTTCCATCAATAGAAATAGTTGCTTTAACTTTTCGACCATCTGGTGTCTCTTGGTCGAATTCAACGCCGGGTGTAAACTTTAAAATTACATTTTTGAATGTTGAACACGACGACAACACATACTGGTCCCCATCCTTTTGCAGATCTACTACAGGAGACACAGCAGCTCCGGCTTTGCGTGTGACAAAACCCACACCTAAAAAAAATAAAATCATGTAAGTATATTGAATTGAGGTCCATTTTTTAATTATTCTTAATAACTATTCGAAAAATATAGATCATATTGTTAAAGTGGCGATTCCGCAAATGTATACATTAACTATTTAATGTCTGCATTCACTAATAATTAAAGTAAATGTATCCATATTAATACTCCCACTAGTTGAAACATTCAACATATTAAAGCAGAAAACATTAATATTTAGTTTTATCAAATGTATCTAGGTTTAAAAATCAGAAACCAACCCTGAAGAACGTTTGAATCTCGAAACTCTACGCAATCAGCGTCACAGTATACGTCCCTAGTAATGTGAATGCTTATTCTTAAAATAATTGTTTAAGACGCTTATTATTCCCGCTTGTTCAGCACGGGGGTTTATATCATCCACAATATGTAAACACGTTTCTGCGTATGCAACTCCGCGCTTGAGTACACTCAAAGCAGACTGAAGTCCGTTTTACAAAAACAAAATTGTATTAAAATGTAAAGCACATTGATTAATTTAATAAAATCTCGCTAAGCAACACACAAAAAGTATATTTTTACTTCAAGACACAAGCTTATGTTTATTTTTAAAAACATGAATGATCAATCTATATAACTATCTATATGATTGATCCTGTCAAATCACCAGACCCACATGTTGCCATAATAGGTCTTTTCCTTTGCATCCACAGTGTAGCACTGAGCTACGTCACTTCTGAACATATCGTTCCATCCATACAATTTGTATAAATGGAACGATATTTTCAGAAGTGGTGTAGCTCAGTGCTACACTTTCGATGCAAAGGAAAAGACCTATTATAACCTATTATATGCCTGTCAGTTTCTACGAGTAGCCATTTTGTTTGGAATGCCTAATATTACAACAAATTAAAAAAACATTCCATCTCTTAGTTATTTAAACAAAATTTTGCGATTTGTTGCCATCAAAATTTTGATTAAATTTTGAAAAAGTGGCTCCAGAGGTACGTATTTAAGCTACACGTACATCTTTTTTCTTTCACTAAAAATTAAAAAAGTACTACCAAAATTTTGGGTGGCTATATTTCGTATTAGTTAGAAAATAATTACCAAAGTAAATTCTCCTTTAAAAAAGCCCGCCAATTTTCGAATTAAATATAATATTACGGGAAACTGCACTATCTACAGAGTAAAGTATAATTTATAACCACCGTAACTTAACGCCGTAGAATCTTAAAGTGACATAAAAATAGTCTATTTATAAATATCCGTAACGTAAGTGTTGAGCATGCATGTTATATTTCAGAGATTATCAAATTAGTGACAACCTTAGGAAATAAACAAGTTTAAACTATGTACCTAACCTCCAAATAAAACAAATTATGATTTTGCTATATAGAAAGAATATATTAACTACTTTAAAAGCAATAATATAAAAATGTAATAAAGCAGAATAGTTTACCGAAAATGCTGATTGTTTTTGAGCAAACTTGACTTGATGTAAAGCTTAATTTATAACCGCCGTAACGTAACTTAACGTAAGAAGTTGAAATATTGAATTTACGTATACTTATTTATAATGTTCGTAACGTAACTTAAGAACTTAACGTACCGTAGAAAGTTCACCAACTTTTAACTTAACAACATAACTTAACTTAAGACCTTACGGTTAGCCAATGAGATAATTCTGCGTTCAGCTGTCAATTATTCTTTTTAGTTTTTTTTATAAATAAATAGAAAAATACCATTTGTAAACTATCATTCTTCTTTTTGATGGACATACATTATCATGAATGATTTGTGTTTATGTTATTGGGGATAAACTATTTACGAGATATGAGTGTAGCTGCATATACCTATAAACATCAAGTCTAGAACTGAAATAAGACACAAAACTTTTTTGCTAGGAAATATTAAATTCTCATTATTGCTCAAAAACAATCAACATCTTCGGTAAACTATTTTGTTTTATTATATTTTTATATTATTGCTTTTAAAGCAGTTAATATATTCTTTCTATATAGCAAAATCATAATTTATAAGTTTTATTTAGAGGTTAAGTACATAGTTTACACTTGTTTATTTCATAAGGTTGTCAATAATTTGATAATCTCTGAAATCAACACGCATGCTCAACTCTTACGTTACGGACATTTATAAATAGACTTTATTTTTATATCTTAGGTTAAGTTTCTACGGCGTTATGTTAAGTTACGTTACGGTGGTTATAAATTATACTTTAATATGTATATGTAGCAACATTTATATCTTCTAAATATTTTATCCCCAATAATATAAACACAAAACATTCAGGATAATGTACTTATGTTTATAAAAAAGGAGAATTATAGTTTACAAATGGTATTTATCCATTCATTTATAAAAAAAAAATAAAAAGAAGAATTGTCAGTTATCTTATGCTGAACTCAGAATTATTTTATTCTTAAATTACGTAACGATCATTTATAAATAAGCATACGTAAATTCAGTATTTCAACTTCTTACGTTAAGTTATTAAGTTACGTTACGGCGGTTATAAATTAAGCTTAAGAGTTGATGTTAATACTTCCGGTAACTACATTACCGACATAGTATGATTAGTTCTGCAACTTCCCCGCTACAGGTCGCTGCTAGCAACATATTGCCAAATTTCTACAACTCTCACGAAATCCACTTGGTTTTTGTACCGTTAGCGGTTAACCATTCCGTTTTGGCGTCATGTCGCCATATTGATATTTTTAGTTAAAAAAAAAGTAGAAATACAGGCTAATGTGAGATGAATTTACAAAGTTAGTATTTAATATAAGTTTTTAAAATGTAAACCAGCAGTGTTGTAAATTGATTTGCACTAGTAAAGATTGCCAGAATTTTATTTTCCAGCAGCAGAAGAAAACTCAGTTTGATACAGTACATAGAAGTCCAAGAAAGATGTAAAAAAAAATGTGAATTGACTACACATTCTCTAACCTAACTTATACTTTGAATAATGATAGTCTAGTTCTTCATCCGACTGCAAAAAGTGGCACGTATTTTTGTTTGTTAATTGTAGTTGGTAAGGCTATTGGTAAATTAGTTTACAGTTGGTAATAAAGTATGTCTCGAAAAAAGCAATAAGTATCAAACATAAATTGTGATTTTGATTAGGCACTTAACAAGTCACATCCCACATATCTACATGCTCTGGCTAATTAATTCTATAAGTACATATCAGAACATTAATATACTATCTACAATTAAACAATAATTTGAAAATAAAGATGAAGCCGATTTACCTATTTAGACAAAATACTATTATTCTGTTATTTATTAAAACATTATTTTTTATTGAACATGGACATGCACAATTTTGCCATGAGGGTTGGACAGAGCGAGATCAAGAAGAATTTGGAATGTGCCGTAAAAAACACTTAGAAAGGGTCTTACGGAGAATTAAGTGTAATAACATTTTACGACGTGTATCTCACTAGTTTAGTTCACAGATTTCTGTAAATGTTCAATTATGTGCTGCTATTTCAAACTTTTAGTATCCTTTGATAAAAGAAGTTGAATATTATTATTGACTTTTTAAATTGTTTATTTTACCTTATACATTTTTTTTTACTCTTCATACAGTATTCTTTGAAGAGTATTATAGGTTTTCTTTGTATGTCTGTCCGATGTTACGTTTTTTGTCTGAACGATAAGTCAAAAGCGAGAAATGATATCAACCTGAAAATTTTAAGCAAAAATCAAGCTCTATAAGGGGACAAAGCCTATTGATTTTTAACAAATCTGATTAAAAATAGGGGGTTAAGATGGGTTGAAATTAAAAAAAAAATCCAAAATTAAAAACGAAAAGCGATATCAACATGAAATTTTTAGTAAAAATGAAGCTTTATAAAAAGATAAAGCCTATTGATACTTAAAAAAAAATATGAGTATATTGGGGAGTTAAGGGGGGTTAAAATATAAAAAAAAATCCTAACTGAAAAACGAAAAATGATTAAAATTTTTAGGAAACATCAATATCTAAAAGGAAAAGAAGCCCTTTAATTATAACAAAGAATCTGATTAAATATGGGTGATTTAAGGGGGGTTGAAATTAAAAGTTGAAATTAAAAGTTGAAATTAAAAAAAAATCAAAAATGAAAAGCGATAACAACATAAAATTTTTAGTAAAAATCAAGCTCTATAAGGAGATGAGGCTTATTGAGTGTAAAAACAATCTGGTTGAAAATGGGGGTTAAGAAGGTCTGTTAAACTGCGAAGAGTATCATTTAGAATACCAGGCATTAAATATCTTTATTCTAGTTTATGTCTGTGTAATATTATGTATTGTGACGGGATTGATCTAATAAAATAAATATAAGGTATTTAAAAAATATATTTTTTATTTGACATCTGTGACAAATTGTGAAAATGATTAAACTTACAATAAAAACTAAAAAATAGTAGGTAAAGTTTCATATAAAATGTTTTACACAAAAATCAATGTCAAGCTTTCTACATAACCTTATATATATTTAAAAATAATCTCAAATTATTAAGAAAAGTCAGTTTACTAACTAATAATGTTTATAGATGGTATTCAACGTATTTTTTGTTTGTTTTTTTTTTGGTGTGTCGTCGGCTTCAACTGCTAAGGTTATCTCACCTCGTGTTCTTTGTAGGCTTTGTTACTGTTTCCCAGCGCCACTTTAGGACCAGTACTGTTAATTAGAACCCAACAGTGAATGGTCGAGTGGGGAATCCTACCAAGGCATCAGAATTAATTTTAAATAATTAAATTAAATGAAAAAATTCCGGCCATCGGTGGGATTCGAACCTGGGACCCTTGGATCCACAGGCAGAGACTCTACCACTGAACCACCCACCCCGTTGGTTTTCAATGTATTAAAAACAAAACAAATATTACACTAACTAAAATATTCATTTATTAATAGTTGTAGTGCTTGAAAACAGTATGATGTTTATAATAATAACTACACTTAATACAAACTCAAATAATAAAAAAAACAGCGATATTGACTCTT